ACAGAGGTAGGCGAGGATGTGAGAAAGAGGATCCCTTTTGCACTGCTGGTGGGCATGCAAACTGGTGCAGCCACTCTGGAAAAGAGTATGGAGGTTCCTCAGAAAGTTAAAAATAGAACTACCCTACGACCCAGCAATTGCACTACTAGGTATTTAACCAAGGGATGCGGGTGTACTGTTTTGAAGGGGCACATGCACCCCAGTGTTTACAGCAGCGCTATCGACAACAGCCAAAGTATAGAAAGAGATCAAATGTCCACTGGTGGATGAATGGGTAAAGATGTGGTGTACACACACGTACACACACACACACACACACACACACACACGAGTATTAGTCAGCAATCAAAAAGAATGAAATCTTGCCATTTGCAACTATGTGGATGGAATTAGGGGGTATTATGCTAAGTGAAATTAGTCAGAGAAAGACAAATTATCACATGACTTCACTCATACAAGGACTTTAAGACACAGAACAGATGAACATAAGGGAAGGGAAGCAAAAATAATATAAGAACAGGAAGGGCGACAAAACATAAGAGACTTAAATATAACAGAGGGTTACTGAAGGGGTTGTGGGGGGGGGATGGGCTACTTGGGTAAGGGGCATTAAGGAATCTATTCCTGAAATAACTGTTGTACTATATGCTAACTTGGATGTAAACTTAAAAAACAAACAAACAAAAAAGCCTAACCCAGAGTATCACCTCACAACCATTAAGACATTTACTATCAGAAGTAGAAAATAAGTTTTGCCAAAAGGATGTAAAGAAACAGGAGGCCTTGTGCACTACTGATCAATGGTGTTGCTGCTGTGGAAACCAGTATGATAAGGACTCCTCAAAAAGACTTTGAGTACATACTCTTAAAAAACCTGAAAGCAGGGTCTTAAAGAGATACTTGTGCACCCATGTTCATACCAACAGTAAGATGGTTCCTCAAAAACCTTTTGGGTCTGTCTCAACACAACTGAAAACAGGGCCTCGAAGAACAGCATGATTCACAATAGCCAAAAGGTGAAAGTAACCCAAAATGTCTACTGATAGTTCAATGCATAAACAAAACATGGTGTATAAACATACAATATTATTCAGCCTTAAAGAGAGGAAAGAAATTAGGACACATTCTACAACATGGATGAACCGTGAGAACATTATGCTAAATGAAACAAGTCAGTTGCACAAAGACAAATATTACTATGGCTCCATTTATATGAGGTATTTCGAAGAGTCAAATTCACAGAAACAGAAAGAATGATGTTTGCCGGGGCTCAAAGGGGCAAGGGATGGGAAGTTGTTGACAGGGTAGTTTCAATTTTGCAAGATAAGGTTCTAGGGAATGTTTGCACAACCATGTGAATGTACTCAATGTTACTGAGGTGTACAATTTTACCAAAATTAAAAGTTAAAATTATAAAAACTTTTAGGGATGCCTGGGTACCTCAGTTGGTTGGATGTCTAACTCTTGATCTCAGCTCAGGGCATGATCTCACAGTTCTTGGGATCCGAGCCCTATGTTGGGCTCCATGTGGTCAGTGGAACCTGCTTGGGATTTTTTTTCTCCCTCTCTGTCTGCCCCCCACCCCCCTCCAAGTAAATAAACTTAAAGAAAAAAAAAAGTTTTTAAATGCAAATACGAAATTGAGAAACAAACCAAATTGTACATATTTGTAAAGAGTTTAGAAGGATAAACACCTAACTCCTAATAGTAGTTATGTATTGAGAATACTGATGGGGAAAGGAAGGGCTTTTGTTATTTACTTCCCATCTTTCTACATTAATGGCATTTTAGTTATAAACCTGCTCTAAGCTAGGATTTTTATTATTTTAATTTAAAAAGTGTTTTTTTTAATGTTTTTATTCATTTTTGAGAGAGAGATACAGAGTGCTAGGGGCAGAGAAAGAGGGAGACACAGAATCCAAAGCAGGCTCCAGGCGCAAGATCATGACCTGAGCCGAAGTCAGACACTTAACTGACTGAGCCACCCAAGCGCCCCTAAGCTAGGATTTTTCAATTCAACCTTTTAAGTGTTTTGGATATAAATTAAATTAAAATTAAACTCTAGGTACAAGAGACTTAAGTTCTAACACCATTTTAAGAAAAGCTTTACCAAGCACATCTCACAAAAAGCATGGCAGGAGTAGGTTATTGATTAGCTCTAAAACGAGTAATTAAGGAAAACGTCCTGTGTCACCCAGTTAACAGGAGATGTGCCTGTTAGGCTTACCCCAGGGGCTGTCCATGGCACTTCCCAGCCAATAATGCCTAAAACCAAATTTGACAAAGATCTACTCTCTAATCTTGAAACTGACAAATCTGATACAATAGCTGGTGCCTGCAAATACAAAATCCTAGGGTTTTCTAACTATTCTTACCGCTCTTTCTCCCTACTTAGACCAATAAAACACCAGGCCTGCACCAGCACTTAACTTCCTCAGAGCCTTATTCTCCTCCCACCCCCACTTCAAGAATGTTACAAGAGAGTTAGTGGGTGGTTAGCAAGACCCCCTCAGAAACCAACAGCCATTCCAGAAAAATAATTGCTCACATACCAAGGGCTGCCAACGAGAGCAGCTTCCCAGCAGCATGTTTTAATAACCTTAATGAAGCGGAGAGCAACGCCTCCTCTAATACAAATTCTGGTTGGAAAAAAGATCTACAGATTGTGGAAAAGTACAACTTAAAAAGCAAACACCGCAGGCTCCGGTGAGGCAGGAAAGCAAGCAGAGATTTCTAAATACAGAGCTCAATTGTAAGAGTTCACTGTACCTTATTTCTATCATCGTTTGCTCTGTCAAAAATAGAACTTTCCAGGTCTTGATCCATTCAGAATAAGCCACAGCAGGCACAGCTTTGCTTACACAGGGCAGCCAGGTCAGAAAGGCCACACAGGGAAATGGAAAAGCAGCCAGCAGGTTTTTTTAGGGATTATACTGCTCCAGCTTTTATCCTCCTTCCGAGCTATTTCGGTGCCAAGAAAGCTGCAGGGAGGTCTCTGCTCTGAAAAAGCTTTTACTAGAAAGGCTGAAGCAGTCCCAGGGCTGCAACTCCCTCTGCTGCCCAAGGAGTTCTTTGCATGCTCAACCGGTTCAATGCATTTCAAACTCAACTATGTTAAAAGAGCTCAAGTAGCCCTTTATTTCAAAATGTGACCAAAAAGGCGTAGGTTCAAATAGGAGAGGAGAGGAACAGCTAGAATGCTGACTTCTAAGCTGCACACATTTCTACACTTACCTACAAACCTCCTCTATCTCAAAAGATTTCTTTTACTCAGTTTAAAGGAAAGTTCTCTATCTCCTCGCAGGCACTTGGAAATGCAGGAACTATACTTCTTGCTTCTTCCTCACTAACCCTTAATAATCCCCATTTCGAGAATCTCGGGTAGGCCTTACGCACCTCAATATCCAATTTAAATAGCCATTAGCGTGTGGCACCAAAGCTCTAAGTTTGCTGATCTGTTTCACTGCATTTATTCAACCTTGTGCCTGTGTAACAGCAGATGCTTAATAATCACTGAACAGGATTCTAACTAGAATTACCCTGGGGTCGTTTTCCATTTATTTAAGTAATCTCTATACCCAACGTGGGGGTTAAACTCGTGACCCTGAGATTTAGAGTCACATGTTCTACCGAAATGAGCCAGCATGGTGCCCCTAATTAGAAACACCCTGAGAAACTGGGGGAGGAAAGATCTGTCCTCCCCCATAATTCAGCTGGGAAATAAGGAATTACTAAGGGAGGCACTAACGTCTTTAGAGAGAAGGGTAAGAGATATGCGGTGCTCCAACTAACATACTGTTACTATGTCTAACAACTTACCAGCTCTGCTTGTGGTCTTTTTCAGGTTACCAATCTCACAAGACGTCCCTCCTGTTAACTCTTTTAAGTTTATTTCGGGGGGGGGGAGAGAGAGAGAGAGACAGAGTGAGCAAGGGAGGGTCAGAGAGAGAGAGACACAGAGTCTGAAACAGGCTCCAGGCTCTGAGCTCGCTATCAGCACAGAGCCCAACGCGGGGCTNGAATATCCCAAGCAGGCTCATGCTCTCAGCACTGAGTCCAACGTGGGGCTTGAGACCAGGAACCGTGAGATCATGGCCTGAGCCAAAACCCTGAAACCAAGAGCAGGATGCTTTATCAACTGAGTCACTGAGGCACCCCTCCCTCCTGTTAATTCTTAACAGAGCTCATTTTATTTATTTAAGTTTATTTATTTACTTTGAGAGACAAAGAGAACACAATGGGGTAGGGGCAGAGAGGGAGAGAGAACCCCAAGCAGACTCCACACTGCCAGCCCAGAGGCCGATACGGGGCTCAAACCCACCAGCTGCAAGAACACGAACTGAGCTAAAGTCGGAAGCTTGACGGACTGAACCACCCAGGTGCCCCAACAGATCTCATTTTAAATGTACGCTAAGCGTCCGACTTCGGCTCAGGTCATGATCTCACGGTTGGTGGGTTCGAGCCCTGCGTTGGGCTCTGTGCTGACTGCCAGCTCAGAGCCTGCAGCCTGTTTCGGATTCTGTATCTCCCTCTCTCTCTGGCCCTCCCCTGCTCATGCTGTCTCTCTCTCTCTCTCAGAAATAAAACACTAAAAAATTTTTTAAAAAAATGTACGTTTGCTTACTCCCAAATACTTCTCACATTCTGATCTTAGTAGTGATTTAAGAATTCACAAAGACCTCACAGAGCTGGGAGTGCTAGGCCAATACTGAAACTATTACACTACCTCCAACCTACTGTGGTTAGAAACTCTAGTGTTCCAGCATCTAGAATTAGAACTGATAATGAAGAAGACATGTATTATTTCAATAGCCTTTATTTTTGCAAACCCTCTTCTCCATGACCCGTTACCAGAAGCTTACCTGTCAGGGAGAATTACTACTCTTTACCTTAAGAATCTACAGACAAAACAAATGCCCAGGGCACCTGCCACCCTTCAGAAAACTTAGGGGCCACTGTGTAAAAGGTCTCTAATACTGGATGAAAAGAAACAATGTAAATTTTTAAATAAAATCAATCCCACAACATTTATTGTCATCTGGTAATAACATAAAGGTAATCAAAACAACAGGAACAAATGTTTTAGCATATACTCCCAACAAAGGACCTCTAAAAAAACAAACTACATGGCCTTCTCAAGAATTTCTCACTTCATTGATCATTTCTAGTTGGAGACACTTTGGAGCAGGGTAATATTATCTCCTTTTAGCATGATCCGACCTGCAACACAAAATTAAAAACAAAAAAAAAGCTATTAATAGCCACTCAGACAAGTGTGTAACCCCCTCTCAGCCTCAGAATTTCAGATCATACTTGAGCAATTTTGAAAATGCTTCCTTCCTTGAGAAGGTACGTGAAAAATTTCAAATATCCACATATTGAAAAGCTCTACATATTAGAGCAAATGAACTTTCTCAATGATAAACTAATGAATGTAGAGAAATACTTTTATGAAAACTACAATACAATTTTATGAAACTACTATGATTAAGTCAATTGACTAGGTCTACCCCAACATTTCCCACTGCTCTGAGTTTGTAGAAGTTGGAGAATGAGTTGTGTTTTAAGTTTAAAACATTTGACAGCATAGAGTTTTCAATATGTTAAAGACTCTATCCTACAATAAATAAAACTGTTCAAATTTTATCCAACATTTCCTGAACTTATTTGAGCAGGGAATACTTTTTTTCTGAGAAAATAGCTATGAATATCTTCAGTGTTGAGTAAAATCAGTTTGAGAAAGACTCACCAAACCCAAAAGTGATTGATTTTTAACTTTCCCAGACTTCTATAACAGGTAATATTAATCATATTTATAGGATAAATACTTTAAGAATTCAACACTCTCCAAATAATTTATACACAGTGATGTCAATAAAGCTAGCTTGCCCTTCCTAGCAAGACATGTTTAAATTTGAAAATCCAGACTTTCACAAAAATAGCCTAAACAGAGAGCATAGCAAAACACCAAACCGCTTCTCAGATTCTACCTTCCACAGATCTACTACAGGCTCAAGAGAATCCTCAGGGTGCAGGGGAAAAAGAGACACCTGAAGCCCACGAAAGATAAAGGCACTAGTCAGCTGTGAGCTGGGCATTAATTAAAAACAAAGTACCTAAATAACTTTAAGCGAATAGGATTTTAAAAGAAATGACTCTTTGTCTTGAAATCACGATTCCTAAAGACTCTTCATTAACTGGGTTAAGAAACTGCATTCGTTATCCAAATATTTTTCCGTTTCTACCAGATGACAGGCACTGAATGAGGCACTAGGCATATGAGGGAGCAGAGAAGGGACGGAGGCAGCACCTGGCCCAGCGAGAGAGACATGAATAGAATAATCCCACTAATGAGTGTTTTACTACAAACTCAGCACAGCCTGTCTCCTCCCATCCCCACCTCAAGTAAAACAAAACCAAACTCTGATACCTGACATTTAATCTGAGTCCTAAACACATAGGAAGCCTCACAAAGATTTATGGTGGGGCAAGTGTGCAGGTTCAAACAACTGAAAGAACACAAGTGTGGATGAAGCTCAGAAAATGAAGCAGAGTGATAGAAAGTGAGCAAAGCGAGAAAAGATCGTGAAGAACTTTGCAGAACACATTAAAGATTTTCTTATCCTGCTAGCAACAGGAAGTCATGGGAGATTTCAAGCAAAGGATGACAAGGTCAGACTACTGCTTTTCAAAGATAACCGCAGCCTGCAGAGCAAACTGGAGGGGGATGAGGCAGTTGTAAAGAAATCAACCAGGAAACTGAACGGGGTTGGTGCCATTCAGGAAGGCAGGGAACACTAAAATAGGTCTACAAGAGTGTATAGGGAGCGGGAAGTGAGTCTGACATGCTAACTTTGAAGAGCCTTTGAGACATTCAGGTAGAAATGTTGAACAGGCTCAGAGAGGTCTAGAGCTACAGAGGTAAATCTGAGGTCCGATATAGAGACGGTAACTGAAGGTATAGTCTTGAGGGCCCGGGTAAATAACACCAAATGACATGAGGGCCTAAAACCGTGCCTTGAGCAACTCAAAACATTTAATGGCCGGGTCCAAAAGAATGCATATACAAAAATCTGAAAAGGAATAACTAAAATGAAAAATAAAACTGAGTATAGTATCATGGAGCCAAAGGAACAAAGTGTTTTAACGTGGGAGTGGCCCACAGCGCCAAACGCTGTTTAGAGTTCTATGAAACAAGAACTAATATTGACCATTAGATTTGACACCATTAGTCTTTGGTGACCTTCATGAGAAGGGTCTGAGTGGAGAAACAAAAGCAGTAATGGGAGTGGGGCAAGCAGCAAGCGACGGTTTCAAAAGGGTACTACTCCTCCACATAGTAAATTCTCAAATGCACACTAAATTTAAACACAAATTGAGTTACAACTCAATTCAACTCTGCAACGCGAATAAAAAATTCTACGATTCTAAAAGGCCAGCTATTCTTACCCAGTTGTTTTCGTGACTTTGTTTTAGAATGAATCTCTTCTGCATCATCTAATACGAGGTTCATGTACTCATCAAAACCCTAGAAAACAGAGAAGGAGCGATTACTGATGGAGTCCGTAATGTCTAAAGGGAATACCTAAGTGTCCCGACATAATACTTTTCAGCCATATTTTATCTCTTTCCAATTTTAGCGTATGTGCCGCTGAAGCGAGCACCACTTTATCTTTCTTTAAGACATTACTCAGGGTCGTCTGCCATCCTCAAAAAGTCTTATTAAATTAACCCCACCCAGCTATATTCAGGTTATCACCTAATACAGAATACACCACTAATTTTCACCCCATTGTAATTTCATTTCTTTTGTCTCGTCCTTCAAACACTAACACTGTTGTTACCCTTATTAAGTGCAACAGTGAGACAAGGATAGTGGCCCTGAAAACTTTCCTTGGTTTGGGTCACTGTCTTTTTGCACACTGCTCTGACTAGATGTTTCTGCAAAATTGTTTTTCTATGAACACTGAGGGAAAGCGTTCTGGTTACTCACAATGATACAGCCCTCTATCCGCATGTTCACTTGCTCATAAAGCCACACCTGAATCCGAGATCTCTGAAATAATTGTAAAAATAGATATGTTAAAGGAAAAAAAAAAAAATCTATTTATTTAAATCTTATTTTTTTTGTTTAATTTTTTAATTTTGTTTTAAAAAAAAAAAAACTTAAAAAACAAGCCAAGAATTTAACTACTTCAATCACATCAAAGAATTGGTAACCAAGACTAGTCACCTGCCAAGAAACATTCTCAATAAACACTATACTGGGACCAAGCTAATAATTTTGCGATGTTGGGACTCCATCGCATTTCTTACAGCTTTTCCTCTCAACACAGAGAGTGATAATTGACTATATGGCATAAAGCAGCAATTTCCAATGATCAGGGCTTCTCTCTTATCTGCTACAGCAAAACCAGCTTCAGAACAGCTTTCTCTGAGTTCCCAGTTTTCCATGTCTCACATTTAACAACCAGGGGGAGGGACCCTCAAGTCTGGTGATTAAAAATTACAATGGCTTGGGGACACCTGGGTGGCTTAGTGGGTAAAACATCCCACTCTTGACCTCAGCTCAGGTCTTGATCGCAGGGTCATGAGTTCAAGCCCCACTTTGGGCTCTGCACTAGTCATAAAGCCTGCTTTAAAAAAAAAAAAAAAATTACAATGGCTTGGGGTGTCTGGCTGGCTCAGCTGGGTGAAGCGTGTGACTCTTGATTGTGGGGTCATGGGTTCCAGCCTCACACTGGGCGTAGTAACCTAACACATCTCAGATTTAGATTTAAAGTAATCTTTAAAAAAAAATTATAGGGTCACCTGGGTGGCTCAGTCGGTTAAGTGTCTGACTTCGGCTCAGGTCATGATCTCAAGGTTCGTGGGTTCAAGCCCTGCCTCGGGCTCTGTGCTGACAGCCAGGTCAGAGCCTGAAGCCTGCTCTGGATTCTGTGTCTCTTTCTCTGTCCCTCCCCCACTTGTGCTGTCTCTCTCAAAAATAAGTGTAAAGAACAATTTAAAAATTATAATGGCTTGAAATTAGTCTGTTTGCAACTGTGTTATCACATCCTACAATTTGTCAGAGCAACAGAAAACGCATTTTCTTTCCAAAATAATTTAAATACTCTACTCTATCACCTCACAGTATGAATTGCTATCTTCTCTCAAGTTACCCCTCCTCTCTTCTTTTCTTGGCATCTTTTTTATATTTAAGTTTTCCCCCAGGTGCTAAACTAAACACACCATCTTATTATGTGGCTTAAAGTCGACGGTATTTTTCTTCCAATGTTTCATCCCGGGGGAAAGGTTTCAAAGGGGAAAGGTTCCAATACTGAGTACCAACGAAAGTACCCAAATACCAGTCACGTCTGCCAAAAACTGCTTTTTTAAGTAAGTAATTTGGGTCTTGCAAAGTAATGACGCTATTCTTTCACTGCTTGCAGGTGGCATTTCATTACATTAGAGCTTTCCCGGAGGCCCTTTCCTCTCAAATACTCCTCCAATCCCCAGCTTCACCTGCTTTTCTTCTTCTTCTTCTTTTTCTAAGTAAACTCTACTCCCGCGGTCGGGCTGGAACACACCACTCCACGATTAAGAGTCGCACATTCTACCGACTGAGCCAGCCAGGATCCCGTTTCACCTATTTTTAACTCTATTCCTGGGTATTTTATGGTTTTGGTAACTCTAGAACGCGTTGATTAGACAGGATGACGCAACCAACCAAATAAATTCACCTTTTACTAAAAAGCGAATGACGAAACAACAAAGAACAAACAACTTACGTACATTTTGCAAGTATCTGAAGATGAGGTTCTGCACCAGAAGATGAGGTTAAGGGAAAAAATACACGCAGAGCGTAGACCGTGCTCCCCGAACCCAATCAACTCTACCCCTCTCTCGCCTTTGTTTTCTGAACACGAAGTCTGGTGTCCACGCAACGGACAGAGACCAGCCAGACATTCATTAGGGGTTCCCGAACGCTCTCAAGGAATCCCTCCCACTCCTTTACTCTCCAGTAGTTTCCCGGCGCCGACATCTTCCTCCTCCCTGAGACTGAGGACTCCCACTGCCACTCAGTACCCAACTAAAGCTGTCTTTCGCTCATCCGCGCCACTCCTGCAACGCCCGCTGCAGGGGTCTACACAAGCCCACTTCTCACCGGGTCTTCAACTACCCGCGCTTTCTCCTGGCCTCAGTTGCCCCGAGGGCTCATGGGATGCGGGGCCGCACTCCGCTCCCTCGGGCCCGTTCCCGGTCTGCTCTTCCGCCCCCCCGTTTTCAGGCCCGAACCTCCCAAACCTGACATCCTGCTTAGGATACGATGGGCTGCACCATCACCTTCTGCACTTTCTGGCCCTGGCCACGGTAAGCCATCGTGCAAGCTGACAAAGACCGCACGCTAGCTCAGAAAGCGACTTCCGGAGTAGATAACCGGAAGCGGAAGTGCCCGGCCCTCGCGAGGGGACCTGGGAGGCTCCTGGGAAATGCCTCTCTAGCCCAGGGGGTTTGCTTTTCTCGGTGCTCCGGGGCTCCTGGGGGAGGCCGTCCGGAGGCGACGGCACCTTGGACCGTGAGTCGGTCCTACAGCGCCTCCTGGAGGGAGCCGCGAGGAGGCGCCGAGCGGTCTAGCCCGTAGGGCGGCCGCGGCGGGAAGCTGTGCAGACGCCGCGCCCGCGCGTCTCCATTTTCTAGGTCGGCTTTAGGAGCCGAGCCGTTGCACTCCGTACCTCTTATCTGTGAAATGGGTTGGTCTAGGGCTTTTCCTAAGGCCGATTACCCTGAAATGCAGGCGTGAGGGGCCGCATCGTTATGGAGAGGGTACGGCGGCAAGAAGCCCAACTCAGGGACTCCCCCCCCCCCCGCCCCCTTCCCCACCTGGCAGTAGCAGCTACAGATGATCTGAATGCCAAGGGCGCTGTGGTTCACCCTGATTCCACTCCCCATTTTGTGAGGTGTTACTGTAAGGTGGCAGCAGGGCCTGGCTAGCGGGGAAGCCCCGAAATCTGAGGACTAGGCCCAACTAGGGCTAAGTTCCTCAGCCTTGCCGGTGTCCTTGTCACAGGATGGAGATGAAAATGTCCTTCCTCGCGGGGTGGAAGATGCGGTGAAGCGGTGCCGTGTGTACTCAGCAAGGCCTCCGTGTTGGAGCCCACGGTCTCCTGGGTAGCGCAGCTGTCAGGGAAGGAGCTGGAATTTGTAAGGTCTGGTCAGGGACTTGCGGCCTGGCAGAAATGTTATTTGATTGGGATACCCATTTCACAGATGAAGAAACGGAAGCTCAAGAATTGAAGGGACTCCTCTAAGTGGCAGAAGTCATCACTTGTCTGAGATCTTCTGCTGAGGATAATATTAATGCTGGCCTTAGAAAAATGTTGAGATTAGGGCGCCTGGGTGGCTCAGTCGGTTAAGCATCCGACTTCAGCTCAGGTCATGATCTTATGGCTTGTGTGAGTTCGAGCCCCGCGTCGGGCTCTATGCTGACAGCTCAGAGCCAGGAACCTGCTTCAGATTCTGTGTCTCCCTCTCTCTCTGTCCCTCCCCTTATCCTTCTCTCTCCGTCTCTCTCTCAAAAATATTTAGAAAAAAAAAAAAGAAAGAAAAATGTTGAGATTAAGGGATATGAAAATGAGCTTTAAAGAGCTTGAAAACGCATGAGGTAATTGTTTTTTAAAAAAAAAGTTTCCCCGCCTCAGCTCCAACAGAGGGTTAGGTTGTCCACAGAGTAAACTGGAGGTTTGCTGAATTCAAAGATAACATGGATACAACAAACTATCCTACCTGACTCGTCTCAGATGACAGAGATGCTAAACTACTCTGGCAATTTTCTACTCTGACATCATGATGCCTAAACTTTTGGAGATTGATCCCTATAACCTATTATCTGATTACATAATTCATGAGAAGGGATTCTTTTTTTTTTTTTTTTTAAATGATTTTGCTTAGGTGCCTGGGTAGCTCAGTTAGCTGAGTGTCCCACTTCAGCTCAGGTCATGATCTGCAGCTCAAGTTCAAGCCCAGCATCAGGCCCACTGCTGTCAGTGGTGAGCTGGCTTTGGATCCTCTGTCCCCCTATCTCCCTCCCCAGCTCATGCACTTGCTCATTCTCTCTCTCTCTCAAAATAAGCATTTTTAAAAAATAAAAATGATTTTGCTTTTTTACATTTATGTTTTTGATCACTAGTCTAGAATGTGTCCCAGTATATATATCTTGGAACTGATACAACTTTATAATATCGAGATGGCTACCCAGGTTTCCATTACTATTACAAAAAAATAACCCATTTTTTCCCCCATTTATTTTTTTTAAGCTATTTTTTTTTTAATATTTTTTACTTATTTCTAGGAGAGAGAGAGAGAGAGACAGCGTGAGCAGGGGAGGTTCAGAGAGAGAGGGAGTCACAGACTGAAACAGGCTCCAGGCTCTGAGCCGGCAGTCAGCACAGAGCCCAACGCGGGGCTCGAACCCACGAACCGCGAGATCATGACCTAAGCGAAAGTCGGACGCCCAACCAACTAAGCCACCCAGGCGCCCCATCCCCCATTTAATTTAAAATGCCACATTTAGGGGCATCTGGGTGGTTCAGTTGGTTGAGCGTCAGACTCTTGATTTCGGCTCAGGTTATGATCCCAGCAGGGTCCTGTGATCAAGGCCCATGTCAGGCTCTGCACTTGAGATTCTTTCTCTCCCTCTGCCCCTCTCCCCAACTCCACTCTGTCTCCCTGTCAAAATAAATAAACACTAAAAATAAATAAAATGCCACATTTATAATATACCAAGTGTGTGTGTGTAGAGTTTATATTTTGCTCACCTGATCTTTGTGTCTATTTATGGGCCAGTGTCACTGTAGCAAGTATGGTATGATGTTTCCTTATTTGGTAGGACTAGAAAGTGATAGAACTTTGGTAGCTAGTCTGGTTTGTTTCTTATAAACTTTAGAATTAGCTTACCTGATGAAAAGAATCCTTTTGGTATTTTTACTGCGATTACAATAAACTTGAGAACAACTTAGAATCAGTTTTTTAAAACTGAGTCCCCGATGTTTGCTTAAATTTTCCTTTGCATTTTTGAGAATTTTTCAGTTTACTTTTTAGTTCCTTCTTGCTAGTTTATCTGGTTCAAACATAGATTTTTCCTCTTTCTTGTACTTAACAATTGCCTTTTCCTCGCTTGTATACTGTAGCTGGGTTTTAGAAGAGTGATAGACTCAATTACATAAAAATTACATAAAGTTTTGGGTGATTAAAAAACCATCATAATAAGCAAAGTCAAAAGATCTGGGAAAAGTATGTTTGCACCACCTCAAACAAATGGCTACTTTTATTAGTAGATGAAGAACTTTCTAAAAATGTTCTTCCAGTTCTCTATTGCTGTGAAAGAAATATTTCAAATAGTACTTCAACACAACAACAACTATTTTCTTATAATTCATGATTTTGTGAGTTAAGAATTTGGGTCTTGCTCAGTAGGGCAATATTTTTGCTCCAAAGACATATTTAAGGACTTGGTTTGTGTATTTGGAAAGCTGGCCTAACGTGGGTCCCCCTCCATGTCTGTGTAGCCTTGGGACCTCATACGTGGTGCCCCTGGCAGAGTAGATGCTTGCTTCCTTGCTTGCTTTCCTTCCTTCTTTCCTTCCCTCCCTCCTTCCCTCCCCCGCTTCCTTCCCTCCTTCCTTTTTTTCTTTATAAAGTTTATTTATGGATTTTGAGAGAGAGAGAGAAAGCATGCATGGGGGGAGGACAGAGGGAGAGAGAGAGACCCCAAGCGGGCTTCATGCTCAGTGCAGGGCCCTACAAGGGGCTCAGTCTCACAAACTGTGAGATCATGAGGTGAGCCAAAATCAAGAGTCAGATGCCTAACCAACTAAGCCACCCAGGCACCCCTAGCAGGGTAGGATGCTTTCTTACATGGGGGTTCAGGCCTCCAAAAAACCAAGGCCGAAGCCAACAGTATCTTTTAAAGGCCAGGCCTGGAACTAGTTATGTGATTCACACCCACGGTCAAGTTCAAGGGCTAGAAAAATAGAACCCACTTCTGTTAAAGGCTAAAGAATTTGCAGCCACAATCTGACCCAAAGATCCAAACTAAGAATTGGCAGGAGAGGTGAACAATCAGTTTATAGTAAAGGAAATACTATGTCTTCCCACATAAAAAGATGGCCAACCTCACTCATTATGAGATATGTGCACTAAATTCCACTGAGAAGCATAGACAAAAAGGAAAGAATGGTGGTAATGGCAATTATTAAACTGCACTATTAGGTATTTAATGCTATAGATAAACTCACATGTGTGATATAATGTAATCGCAGCAGCATCGTCTCTGTCAATAGGAAGTAGCTCACTCACTGCATGTTCATATAGTATGATACTATGCAGCTGCAATTAGGATTGAAGAAGCTCCTGTCCTGATATGGAATGATACCCCATATACAGTAAAGAGAAAAGTCAGCCTATAGTATGTCTGAGATTTATTTCAAAATAATCCCATGGGGGCTCCTGGGTGGCTCAGTTGGTTAGGTGTCTGACTCAGGTCATGATCTTGCGGTTTGTGGATTTGAGCCCCACATCATTCTCTCTCTGATCATGTTGGTTTTGGAGAACTGGGTAGCTGGGGCCCGGAGTAGGAAGGAGGCTTTTTAATTGTGTACCCTTAATATGTGTTAAATTTTGATTATTGTAAATGAATATACAGGGATCTTTGAACAATGTCAGGGTTAGAGGTGCCAACACCCCAGCCCCACCCTGCAGTGAAAACTCTGTGTATAAGTTTTTACTCCCCCAAAACTTAACTACAAATAGCCTGCTGTTGACAGGAAGCTTTGCTGATAAACAGTCGATTAACACATATTTTTATGTTATTATGTATTATATACTGAATTCTTTTTTTTTTTAATGTTTTATTTATTTCTAGGGGAGAGAGAGATACAGCGTGAGCAGGGGAGGGTCAGAGAGAGAGGGAGTCACAGACTGAAACAGACTCCAGGCTCTGAGCTGGCAGTCAGCACAGAGCCCGACGCGGGGCTCGAACCCACAAACCGCAAGATCATGACCTAAGCGAAAGTCGGACACTTAACCGACTAAGCCACCCAGGCGCCCCTATATACTGAATTCTTAAAATAAGCTAGAGAAAAGGAGATGCTAAGAAAGTCATAAGAGAGAAAAAAAGTAAATCACTAGGAAGGGGAAATAACACAGTACTGTACCTATATTCACTGAAAAACCCTGGGTAGAGGCTGGCTAGGCTGGGAGGGGACAGGGTGGTTGCAGGCCTGGCCCTGGTATCCTGATGTTCTGCAGCCTGGTGGCGTTGGTTTAGCAGGGACAGCCACCTGGTGGGCCTGTGGGCGGTGACAAGGGCCTGAATGCACAGTACAGCTGCCCCAGCCGCCTCGAGGTGTACGCCGGGCCTGTGGCATCAGCAGCTGCGGCCTCCACGAGCCCAGTGCACAGAGGACTCTGGGGCCAGGGCTCCCTATGCAGGGCTGTCCTTGCCCTTTGAGCCTCCGCCTCTGCCCAGCACCCTGCTAGCTAGCACCCCCGACCCAACCTGACCACCTTGTAGGCACACAGGTGCCTGCTAGCACCCCCGACCCAACCTGACCACCTTGTAGGCACACAGGACCACCCACCACCCTGCCCAGCGCTGGGGCTCCCCGGAGGCCTCCCCAGGAAGGGCAGCAGGCTCAGTCTCTCCATCAGTTGCCTTCTAATGGGTCCCTTGAAGACCGGGGTGGGCATTTGTAAATAAATGCCATGTGGCTTTTGCTGTCAACTCAAAAAAAAAAAAAAAAAATGCAGTGTAAGCGGACCTGTGACTTGTGCAGTTCAAACCAGTGTTGTTCAAGGCTCAACTGTATCACCATTTCCATGAGTTCATTAAATAGTGGAAAGGACTATGAAAACTGCTTCCCTTTTTAAATTACAACTAATCATAATGTTCTTGGATAATCTGAGATTTTTCACAATACTCCTCAAGGGTCTGCAAAATAGGCTTGAGAATCACTGGTTCAGAGAAGTACGCCCTGAGGAAAGACTCAGCGCCAGGCCTCCTAAAGAGCGGAGAACATCTTTCCTCTCAGCTGAACTTCCCTGCATCTCACCCAGAAGCCTCACAGCCTGCTGAAGGGCTGTAATAAGCCTTCCTAAGAATGGGGTTGCAGGGGCGCCTGGGTGGCTCAGTCGGTTAAGCATCTGACTTTGGCTCAGGTCATGATCTCCCAGTTCATGGGTTTGAGCTCTATGTTGGGCTCTGTGCTGACAGCTCAGAGCCTGGAGCCTGCTTCACATTCTTGTCTCCCTCTCTCTCTACCCCTCCTCCTCTCACACCCTGTCTCTCTCTCTCTCTCAAAAATAAACATTAAAAAAAGAAGAGAAGAAGAATGCAGTTCCAAAGACAGAGGCCATCTAGCAAAGATCAGCAGCCCCTGACATGGGCATTCATTCGGCAAGCATTTGTTAAATGCCTTTTGTCACGGGCTGACGTGTGTCCTCCGAAACTCCTATGTGGAAGCGTTACCTACCCAGCACCTCAGAATGTGACTGTAGTTGGAGACAGGCCCTTAAAGGGGTGATTAAGGTTAAGTGAAGTCACAGGGGTGGGACCTAATCCAGGATGACTGGCGTCCTTTATAGCCACATTAAAACACAGAGGGGCATTCAGAGAAAGAACACAGGAGGCCACCATGAAAAGGCGGCCAGAGGCCTCACAAGAAACCAAATTTTCAAACACCTTCATCTTGGACTTCTAGCCTCAAGAACTGTGAGAAAATAAATGTTTGCGGTTTAAATCATCCAGTCTGTGGAATTTTGTTAAGGTGCTAGGTGCTAAGAATATGTAGGTTAGTAAGAATCTGTTTCCTTTACACTCTGCTGAGGAAGATGGACGGATAAACAATTTTAAAGCGATGGGGGTAAACGGTGCATGCCTAGCAGATGGGCACCAAACCCGTTTGGGGGTGGGAGGAGGCAGGTATTGGGAGAGTGGCCTGGTGGCCATAGGATGGGTGGGAGGTAGCCAAAAAGAAGAGGCGTGTAGGTAGAAAGACAAAGAACAAAGGCAAAGAGCTGGAGAGAGATTAGTGTTCAAGGGAAGTCAAGAGCCGGTAGCCTTATGGAGTGGAGAGCATCAAGGGGGAGGCAGGGGGAGGCTGTGAGGACAGGGCCTTGCGTGCCATGCTGAGGGACTTGAAAATTGTAGAGGGAGAGGGAAGGATTGGAGGACTTTTCCAAGCAGTGACTCAGATTTGCACTGAAAAGAATCTTTTTTAAAAGATCAGTTTACATCTGAGCCAGAAAGAGTGGGCGGCAAACTGAGAGCAATGAGACAAAACAGACACCAGTGGGATGATCAGAGGTCCCTGAAAACAAACCTTACCCGCCTGCTGTGTTGGCCCTGTTAGCAGCTCACACCCTCTTCTTTGCTGAGCTACTACACAAAACTCCAACTCTCACGCCTCCAGGAAGCCTTCCCTGACCAGTCTTGAACCCATTGACTTCTCACTCATTCCTCTACAGCATCATCTACTTACACTTGCATCTACTTCATTTCTGTTACTTTTTTCTTAAAAGCATTTCCTCTCTCGGTATTTCAAGGGCTGGGTTTGCCTTATACCCATCTCTCCCTAGCGACCAGTAGTTTTAAGTGATGGTTAGAATTTACAGTGTTCTATTTTGTGCCTCTTCAAGGGGTGGGAGTCCAAAAATACTTTGTAGCAGTTAAGCCATGTATTCATTTCATATTTCCTCAGCTTTTGCAACCTCCCCACCCCAGCTCCTGTGTGTGCTCTCTCTCAAAAATAAACAAAAAAGAAAATGATCAAGATTAAAAAAAATTTTTTTTAAATGCTTTATTTCTGAGAGAGAGAGAAAGAGAGAGAGAGAGATAGCGTGAGCAGGGGAGGGTCAGAGAGAGAGGGAGACACAGACTCTGAAATAGGCTCCAAGCTCTGAGCTGTCAGCACAGAGCCGGATGTGGGGCTCAAACCCACGAACTGTGTGATCATGACTTGAGCCGAAGTCAGATGTGTAACCAACTGAGCCACCCAGGTGCCCCTCAAGATTTTATCTTCATGCCCTTAACATCACTTTGCAAATTCAAATCAATGGAAGCAGTTTGGAGAGTAAACTATTAATGCTGTCAGATGTGTGCATTGTAGGAACTTTCAAAGATTTATCAAGAAGCTTCCTAAAAACCGATTTAAGAATTCAAGAGCTCTTGAAAGTACCAGTGGGATGAATCAAATTCAATTGCGCATAGGAATATGCTTTCTTATTGTTAAATCTGCACTTTTAACACTACAGTGGGGATATAAAGCAGTGCTCTCCCTATGCAGTGCAGGATGTCGTATAAAAATGGTTCTGTGATGGGGCGCCTGGGTGGCTTAGTCGGTTAAGCGTCCGACTTACGCTTGGGTCATGATCTCGGTTTGTGGGTTCGAGCCTCGCGTCGGGCTCTGTGCTGACTGCCAGCTCAGAGCCTGGAGCCCATTTCAGAGTCTGTGACTCTCTCTCTCTGACCCTCCCTGCTCACGCTGTCTCTCTCTCTCCTAGAAATAAATAAAAACATTAAAAAAAAAATGGTTCTGTGAACTAAGAGGTACATAATAAATAGTCCATGTTAGCTAAGGTGGTTTTAAATATCAGCAGCTGGAGACCACCCATTTTCTGTTGCTAAAGTGACAAATAGAGCAATCCATTTTAAAGAATTGCAGAATATTCTGGCAAAACAAGACTACAATTTTAGAAAAGGAACACTACACTTTGATCAATATAGGTCAAGCTTTATTTCTGAACCTGTATTAAGTATCAATCTTCTATGGTGGTTTCCAAGATTGGAGAGGTGAAATAAACTATGTTCTGTCCGTATGAGAGAACCTAGTGGGATTTGAAGTTAAGGTCAGAACTTGAGGGATCATTTACCTTGAGACAAATACAGGAGTCACAAACGATCTTGAAATTTCTGGCTGTGGCCAAACTCTGCAACATTTGGGCCCTCTTCTGTTAAAACTGAAAACCATCATCACTCAAAACCCAGTACATAATCTGTTTGCTATTTGTGACAAGTTGATTGAACTTGTTGGAACTACTTTTGGACTACTACTAGGAAAAATTCTATGTTCTTTGGTAACAAATTTGTGTGTATTCCCTTAACAAAAAATTGACATACTACTTGAAAAAACTTTCCTCAAAAAATTTTCATTCTCAAAAATTCTTAATGGAATCTACTTATGCTCATTTCTAAACCCGCTCTTTAAAAAACAATGGCATTGTTGGAGTCACGATGATAATGGAACTCCATCAGCTCAATTAACGCTGGGAAAGCCCACGCAGCTAAAACAGAGCCTACTAGGGTGGAGTCTGGCAATACGTCCTTGTGAGTTTTCTAGAGCAACACAGTATCTGTGAAATTGGCGCACTTGCACAAGAGGCCAGCAGCGCTCTGACTGGGGCCCCTGTCGACACAGACCCTTGGCTGACACGATGTACAACCACTTGACACACATCCAGACTTTCCTACACCAGTTTTATTTAAAACACAAGTATTTCTCTTTCTTGTAATGGCAAATGGTTCAAATAATGCTGAACATGAATCATTGACTAATACAAGGACTTTAAATATGAAACAAAATTATTCTTAAAAAAGCAAAAGAATAAAGGTTATATACAAAAGGGACCTGGAATCTTTAAGCTGATTCCAAAAATGAAATGAGTAGAAAATCTGTGGTGAAACCAGAACATTCCACCCCTGCTTTGGAGAAGGGCTATATACAACATTCAGTCAGCTGAAGATGGATTGGTAGAGAGGTGTCTATACATAAATTTCAAGTCATTTTTGCTTGTGCAGAATCATCCAGATCTTCCCAAGACTGAATGGGCAGTCCTGTGGCTTTCTTCCTTTTCCATAGTCCCAACAAGGCTACATGAAGTTCAACTCTTGATGAGCCGCTTACAACAGCAGTTCCTTAGGAGCCAACACGAAGGTGGGTCAGATTTCCCTATGAGAAACACAACTGGCCACCTACAGCAAAGTATCAAAATGGATGAGTCCTTCTTTCCTCTTCCTTCGGAGTATGTACAATATGTCTCCTTTTAAGACTCTTATCCCCATCACACTTGTTCCTGCACACGTCTAAACCTTGAGGTGATATGAATGAAGGAGACCGACATCAAGAAACTTCAATTGAGAAATGAAGAAAACTGGAAGGTATACAATACACCCCCAGAGCATTGCAATCATCCTGCTACAGCAGTTTGGTGTACTGCTACAGTCCATACATAAATATTGGCAGCTGGGAGGAGTTCATTTTGTCCCCCCTGGCAGTTAAAGGGTACCAAATAAATACTGGGCAAGAGGAGTTTGCTGGGAGAGTTAGAAATAAAAAATTAACCAATTTTTATCCCTGTGATAATTCAATGTCAGTAGGAGGCAAGTACTGAAAGAAGAGAAGGGACAACTTTCATGCTAAAAAAAGAATTCCTTGAATCGTTATGTCACCATCTCTTATTAAGAATCCAGGGAATCCCAGAAATGGAAAATTAGTTCCAGAGGACCCCTGAGGCACTTTAAAGCCTTAAAAAAATTACAGTAATAATAAATTAGCTATTGCTCTTCAGGGGCTTACAGAGCAGCAGAAGCATGAAAATCAGGTTGAAAAAGTTACGTCCAGATTACAAGCTTTCTGAGCTGCTCAGCCCTCTCTAAAGCTCAGCTGAATCTCCAAATATCTTTAAAAAGACGTACACTTTAACACAGACTGAGTGGATTTTCTGTTTAGCGGTAGTGTGAAATTTGGTCCTGAATGGCAGCAGCTGTCTTCATCCTTTTCAAACTCAGGTAACATCAAGTACGTTAAGACAATACATAAAAGAAATATATAGCAAAGGGGAAAAAAGCCCAAACTGACAAACACCTCAAGGAGTCACTAAGTTCTCTTGCACCCTTTGACTTGGCTCTCCCTCTCAGTTTTTTTTTTTTTTGTGGAGAGGTGTAAGACAAAACATTTTTCTTATAGATGCTAAACAATGGCATCGAATGAACAAAATGGTTATCAAGGGACTTTAAAAATCTGACCCCAAGGAATCCAGGACACATACAGGTAATTCAGAGGTATACTTCTGATATGGGGCAAATTCTAGACTAAGGAAATGACCATTTTGGGTAAATGTTATAATAGATGAAACTAAGTCCAGTTCTTTGTTTTTGTTTTTTTTCAAGTGTTCCACTACCGCCTTCAGCTATCAATCATTTCTGATAGCTCGAGCAGAAGGTCATCTTCATCCTTCCCAGGATCCAAGTCGATCTCTGCTTCTAATTTGCCTCCCGAAATCTCCCATATTAGTTTCTCGAAATCATCCTCCACTGAAAGTGGGGGCTTTCCTGCTGAGGCAGAGCTGAGTCGGCGAGTCTTCGTAGCCACCTGGGCTGAAGAAGGGCCAGATACTTCCGGCGGGGAGGGATCTGAGGAGGGCTGGGCTGGAGGCAGCACAAGACTGTAAAAAACAACCCCAAAAGATTATTAGGAAACTGCCCTTTGTCAATAGTTGGCTGACTGGCTCCACCATTCAATGGTTCCACTGGGTCTCAGGAACGCAGAGAGTTAGCAAAGGGTTGTTTCTTATAGAGCATAAGTAAGAAGAGAGGCCTCAAGTCTGGTGAGCAAGAACTGCAAGTATTACCTGTCTCTAGGCTTTTCTGTCTCAGGCACAGCAATGGGCTTGTCCTCAGAGAGCAGTGGGACAACAGCCTGCAAAAGGAACAGCAAGGCGATTCAGTGGGAGGCAGGCTTTTTGTTATATGAGCATATTTTCTTTTGCCACTTTTCCTAGAATCTTGGTGATAATTCTGGAAACCCAAGAATAAATAATCCAAAGGCTGAGTGTGGAAACAGGCAAAACATCATGCTTCCCAAGAATTTGCTTTAAAAAAAACCCCCACTGTGCCACCCCACCGAGTCTGAGATGGGGACCCCGGGGACAACCCAAACCGTTCAGATGCAGAGGACAGGGCGGCCGTGGCACCTAGGCAGGTGCTGGCCGGTTCTCTCTGGCCTTCCTCCCCCACCATGCGCAGCACCACCCCGGCACCACCCGGGGGCTGGATGCGGATGCGGTCCAGGCTCACCACGGCTGCCCTCTTGGCGGGGCTCTCCTGCAGGGCGCCGCTGGTGCTGAGCGGCTTCACGGCTGCGATGACAGCAGGGTGTGCCTCCATGGCCTTGCGTTTTGGGGTGAGCTTGGGGGAGGAGACAACTTTAACCACAGACGGCTTTACGTTGACTTTGGGTTTAGCTACAAGGAACAGAAAATATCTGATTAATAGCCAGAATTCCTCTTTTACATGGAGAATAACTTAGAATATCAAAATTCCTTCTCAATACTAGAAACAACCACACACACCCAAAAATGAAAATAATCTATAAATCATCTATCCATGTGGCCACAACACAGATGTACACTCAAATAATCCCTTCCATTGGCTCTTGAATTTGCTGTTCTTCCATTCCCTGGTGTTCTTCTTCTTCTTCAAAATCAGAGGAAAGATGCACCACAGAAAGCCTTTTTCCCCCACTGTGGTGTAACTGACATATTAACATTATTATATTCACTTCAGCTACACGACATAATGATTTAATAAACTAAGATTGTATGATGGCCACGGTTAAGTCTACCTAATACATACACAGTTACAATTCTTTGTGTGTGAGAACTTTTAAGATCTTCTCTCCTAATAACTTTCAAATATACAATACAGTTTTTTTTAAATTTTGTTTTCTAATGTTTATTCATTTTTTGAGAAAGAGGGAAAGACAGCACAAGTGGGAGAGGTGCAGAGAGAGATGGAGACACAGAACCTGACTGAAACAGGCTCCAGGCTCCAAGCTGTCAGCACAGGGCCCAATGTGGGGCTCAACCCCATGAATCGTGAGATCATGACCTGAGCTGAAGTTGGATGCTAAACCGACTGAGCCACCCAGGTGCCCCTGCAATGCAGTACTGTTAACTACAGTACATTATGTCCCCATGACTTATTTAAAAATATGAAATCTTTCACAAATCTGTATGACATTCTTGCCTGGGGGCCATGCTAATCTTCTTTGTAGTGTTTCAATTTTAGTTATGTGCTGCCAAAGTGAGCTTTAGACAAAGCTTTCTTTTCTTTTGTTTTTTTTTTTTTTAAGTTTATCCATTGATTTTGAGAGAGAGGGGGAATCCCAAGCAGACTCTGCACTGTTAGCTTGGAGCCCAATGTGGGGCTGGAACCCATGAAACCGTGAGATCATGGACTGAGCCAAAGTCGACCACTCAACCGACTGAGCCAAGTGCCCCTAAACAAAGCTTTTGAAACAGCAATTTTAAATTCTGAGAAAAGAACTCTAGTTTTGCCTCGATTTTAAACAGAACTATCACAAGGACAACTCTCCGCCTTGTGACCAGTCAACACCATCAACGGAATGTGACTCAACAGCTGCTAGGGAATTACTAGAAACTGGGTAGTTTTGAAATCCTACAGCAACATCCTCTGAAAAACCACTCACCTTTACCCCTTTTTTCCAAGCTCTGTGCTGCACATTTCACGTTCAATATCGAGTCCCCAATTCCTGAGGGCTCTATCTCTGCCTTCTGGGATGGCTTCATGGGGAGCCGCTTTGGCAGGTGCCGTGTGACGCCTGGCACAGCAGCAGGCAGGGGCTTCTCTGCACTCTGAGCATTGCAGGAGTCTACACCTCCCCGAAGGGGGGTCAAAACTGATTTTTCCTTCTGCATCGTTCCCCTCTCCAGCTGTTTCTGCATGTGCTTCTCTCTCATGGTCTCACATCTCTTGACCTGAATTTTAGTGATGCCAACTCCCGTGGTTTCCTCTGAAGCCTGTGGACACATTTAAACGACAGATTTGAAAACTCAGTACCTCTACCAATCTGTATGGTAATTCTTATTTGTGAGTTACCAGGCTTTTTTAGACCTCAAACAAAACAAAACAAAAAACAAAGAAACAAAAACTTAGGGCACCTGGCTGGCTCAGCTGGTAGAACATGCAACTCTTGATCTCAGCGTTGTTACTTTGAGCCCCACAATGGATGTACAGGTTACTTAAATATAAAATCTTTACTTAACTATTTATTTAAAAGTAAGCTTCACACTCATCACAGAGCCCAATGTGGAGCTTGAACTCATGACCAAGAGTCAGATACTTAACCAGGCCACCCAAGAAACCCAAAAATTAAATCTTTTTTTTTTTTTTTTTTTTTTTATTTCTAGGAGAGAGAGAGAGACAGCGTGAGCAGGGGAGGGTCAGAGAGAGAGGGAGTCACAGATTGAAACAGGCTCCAGGCTCTGAGCTGGCAGTCAGCACAGAGCCCGACGCGGGGCTCGAACCCACGAACCGCGAGATCATGACCTAAGCGAAAGTCGGACGCTTAACCGACTAAGCCACCCAGGCGCCCCCCAAAAATTAAATCTTAAAAAAAACTCTTTTGTTTAAAAGGAAAAAAATACACCTGAAACGAATATAGTTTTATTTCAATTAAAAAATCTTATTTATAAGTTATTGGGCTGACATCTAAGTCTAGTAGAGTTTCACATGATCTAGAACACAAGAGCTGATATTAAATAGAAAATGCCAAGCTGAATTGTTAAAGATGCATGGAACAAGGGGCACCTGGGTGGCTCAGTCAGTTAAGCGACCGACTCTTGACTTCCACTCAGGTCACAATTTCCCAGTTGGTGGGCTCGAGCCCTGCATCGGACTCTGTGCTGACAGCATGGACCCTGATTGGGATTCTCTTTCTCCCTCTCTCTCTGTCCCTCCCCTGTGCACATGTCTGTGCACTCTCTCTCAAACAAACATTAAAAAAAAGATGTGTGGAACAAAAACCTCAATTTTATAGGACAATCTTGACCCTAAGTCAACTATCAATGCCTCCTAAATAACCACACAATGACACAAAGATTCAATGATATTCATCTTCTTAATTGTATAAAACAAAATCTAAATGTCCGGAAACAGACTATATATACTTAATAGAACATTATGGGGCCAACTGATGTCTTGAAGAATTACGAATACAGCAAAAATTAAAGCAGGCTGCAAAATCATACATGGTAGAGTCCTCAATTTTTAAAAATATTTTTAAATTTATTTTTGAGAAAACAGCGGGAAGGAGAGAGAGCAGGGGAGGGGCAGAAAGAGAGAGAGAGAGAGAGAGAGAAAGAGAGAGAGAGAGAGAGAGAGGGAGAGGGAGAGAGAAAGACAGAGAGAGCTAGCTCAAACCCACAAGGCCTGAAAGAAATCCATGAAAAAAGCTAAAAAGGTTACTACATCTGAGTTGGGGAATTAGAGGCATTTTTATTCTTTAAAAAGTTGCCATGTTTTGTACTATGAGTGCCATTATGCTTAATTTAAAAAATATTACGGGGGCGGGGGTGGTAGAGCCTGGGTTGCTCAGTCAGTTAAGCGTTTAACTTTGGTTTCGGTCATGATCTCACAGTCTGTGGTTTCAAGCCCTGCATCGGGCTCTGTGCTGACAGCTCGGAGCCTGGAACCTGCTTCAGAATCTGTGTGGTTGTGTGTGTGTCTCTCTCTCTGCCCCTTCCTTGCTCACACTCTTATCTCTCTCTCAAAATCAAACATTAAAATTTTTTTTAAAAAATATTAAATGGGGGTGCCTGTGGCTCAGTCAGTCATGCATCTGACTGGCTCACGTCACAATCTTGCAGTTCATGAGTCGGAGCCCTGCATTAGGCTCTCTGCTGTCAGCATGGAGCCTGCTTCAGATCCTCTGTCCCTATGCAACCCCCACCCCACCGCTTCTCTCAAAATAAACATTAAAATAATATTAAATGGCCAATTAAAAACAATGTTAAAGGAGCAGAGAACACTGCCATGCAAAGTAGTGCAGAAAACTCTCACAGAAAATTATTGGCATAGTGAAGGCTTATTTACCTAATTTATCAGTGAAATGTTAAATAGAGATGCATTACACTAACACTAAAAGGCACATTTTACCATTCATTTGGCCTTTGCTTGCCATGAACAGAACTATAAAATGATCTTAAATAAACTCACCTCTTTAGCCTCTGTTCTAGTAACAGTGCTCTGAGAAACCACTTCACTTCCTTCTTGAAGTTTCTTCTCTTCTTTTATACCTATATTCACATTAAACACATCACTCATGATTTCATTTAGGCTGCAACTTCAGTAACAGATTAAAGCACATCCCCATAAAAATAAAGCTAAGTCAGGACACATAAAACTGTAGATAAGGCACACCGTCCTCATAAAGCTTGGAAATGCCCGTTAACATTCCAAAGGCCCACACAGCACCCCTGTACAGAAACAGCTTTACTTCATCTGACCCAGTGGTTTTCATCAAAAAAAAAAAAAAAAAAAAAAAAAAAAAAAAAAAAAAAATTTTNAAAAAAAAAAAAAAAAAAAAAAAAAAAAAAAAAAATTTTTTATAGTTTATTTAGTTTTGAGAGAGAGACAGAGCATGAGTGGGGGGCAGGAGGGTGGGCAGAGAGAGAGGGAGACACAGAATCTGAAACAGGCTCCAGGCTCTGAGCTGTCAGCACAGAGCCTGATGAAGGGATTCGAACTCATGAACCGTGAAATCTGACCTGAGCTGCAGTTGGACGCTTAACTGACTGAACCACCCAGGCTCCCCTGACCCAGTGGTTTTCAAAGTTACCGGAGCACAGTTCTCACAGAGCTCCTGCGAACACCCCGTGCACCACCACCCTCTGAAACGTGATTTGGGGAAATGGTGCCACAGACTGCACTGTGTTGTTACCTGTTTTTTTGGTGACTCGGAGAAACCGCCTGGCCCCAGGGGTGGCCTCGGGCCGCGGCTGGGAGCTGATGCTGCTCTCGGAGCCCTGCTGCCCACGCAGGGCCTTCTCCTGCTTAATCTCCTCCAGCGTCTTGATGCGCACCTCCTGCATACACTTGGGCCTCGCTGCTGGCTCCTCGGACTGCGCTTTGCTGACGACTAGAGGCGGCAAAACCACCGTTTTTTTCATTTCGCTATCGGTCTTCAGCTTGACACACGTTACATCCTTTTTGTTTTTCTGTCTCTCTGCTTCCTGCTGCCGATGTTTCTTTTCTGCCAAGACCTCGGAGAAGGTTTTGATTCGGATAGTGGAGGGGCTTCTTGTTCCTAAAGTAGAATCATCGACTTTTGAAGGTCCTTCTGTCTTGAGTTTAGGTTGTACTTCTCCACGTTTCTGACTAGCTTTTTCAAGAAGAATTTCTTCTAATGTCTTCACGTGGATCTCACCAACTTTAGTAACTCTCTCTGTTTTCACGGGGGAAAAAACAAGTCACTGTATTTGGAGTTTATCTCTTAACAACTTACGTGCTCTCTGTTCTTGGATCAGGACAGAGTCCTACTAGAGTAGTATCATTTAGGTAGGTAATTAAAATGATCAAAATATTATTCACCTCAATTTCAGTTTCAGAATACTCCAAGTTTCAGGTAGTGGCCCTCAAGGAAAATTCTCAGATGGCAAATATTACTGATTTGTTGGAGTTCTATTCAGGAGCTTATTCCTGAAGAACCTCAAAGGCATTTACTAGTTGGAGAAATCTGTCATTGTACATCTCACCAAACGAGTAATGAACTAATTCTTCCATCCACTTACAGATCTAAACGTGCGCTGGACACTGTGCTAGAAAAACAACGGTAAGCAAAACATAATCTCTGCCCACGTGTAGTTTCAAGTCTGACAGACCAAATAAGCAACAACAAAGTATGATAATAAATAATGTTGTGGTTTTATTGTTGTTGTTGAAGTAAGCCCTATACCTGACATGAGGGCTTGAACTCTTGACCCTGAGATCAAGAGTCACACTCTGTCCTAAGGAGTTAGCCAGCCAGGCGTCTGACAATGATAATGCTGACGGGGAAGTGTAGTGGTACCCGGGAGCAGATGGCAAGAACCCCAACCTCTGTCTAGGAATTGCTTAAGGGGAGCTTTTCAGAGGAAGTAATACTTAAGCGACATGTGAAGGATGAGAAGGAGGTGAAAGGCTCGGAGAGTGGCATGCCACTGAAGAGCTATTTTTAATGATATATTCAACATTCTGCATCTGCTTAAAAGAGCAAATTTCACACTGACAGATAGGCCTGTTCTCGTTACTGAAGGGCTAAAAGAATGATGTAATGTGGGGAAAAACAAGAAAAACTTGGGAGACTGTACACACTACACACACATTTGATAAGTGAATGACAGCTTTTCATGAAAGTTCAAAACCCCCAAATATCCTTTAACAACCTTAAACATATCACACTTGGTTTCACCTTCTGAACCCTTGAATGTGCCGTCCCTTCTACACAGAATATTCCCTACTGGTCTCATTCTCCTGCTGTTAGTTTTAACTGAGTTCGGTTTAGAACCTGACACCCTCCAATCTAGCTTATTTCTCTGATCACAGCACTGCTCACACAGTACTACAAGTGCTATTTCCAACCACACTAGATACATCGTAAGAAGTGGCTATATTTAGTTATCTGAAATATTTCAGTACAGTAGCTGTACATAGAAAGCACTCAAACAGGCACTGAATCACTTCCTTAGGTTTCTCAAATAAAAATCCTTCCATCTGAAGACGGTGGACTGATCTCAGAATTACCACTCCAAGGAAGTGCGTGAATGGAGACATGAAGACCTTGTTTCTCCACTCCAAAATTTTATCAAAAACGATTGAGAAGATAATAAAAGTAGAAGAAACCCACAATAGCACCGGAAAACAGGGCTGCCACTGGCAGAGCGTAAATGTTGAAGGATTTCTGAGATCAGACAGCAGCCCTTGGAATTTACAGAAAAACAAAAAGAACAAAAAAAAAACCAACCCCTGTAGGAGTGAGATCCGTTCTTTCCAGCAGAGCCAAAGAAAAACTGCCAAACTAGCAGGAAAAACAACAGTGGGTAGGAACATAAGGATGGGAGGCACCTGGGTGGCTTAGTCAGTTAAGCATCTGACTCTTGGTTTCAGCTCATGGTTCATGAGACTGAGCCTCACATCAGGCTCTGCGCTCACAGTGCGAAGCCTGCTTGGGATTCTGTCTCTCCTTCTCTTTCATTGATGCTTGTGCGCTCTCTCTCAAAATAAAGACCTTTTCATGATGAAACTTAAGAAAAAAAAAAAGAAAGAAAGAAAGAAAGAAAGAAACTTAAGGAATGTCTTATAGAACAGCCAGACCAGTCATGACCTTATCCTGGGAACTGCTCCCTAAATCGAGGAGAATCTGCCATGGAGGGGAGCACATTATGAGGTCAGGGCTGAAGGGAGAAGATGAAACAAACAGCAAGCAGAAAAAGAACAGGGGAGAAGAGGAAAAAGTAAAGCTAGGCAAGGAAAGAAAGTGGCTCTGCTCTGAAAGTAAAAAAACTTCTTACTGTGGCAATGGCATAAGCCCCCAGCCTCCAGCCTGCAACCCCCACTACTGCCTTTTGGGATACTGTCCCCACTTACGCAGACCTTACTCGTGTCTCCCAGCCAGGAGGGAGGACCACATGGGAAAAAGCTGGTTAGAACCCATACAGGAAACCCAGGCTATGAACTTACAGCTATAACATAGCAGTAACATTAAAAGTGAACCAGAGGCACCTGGGTGGATGGCTCGGTTGGTTGAGTGTCTGACTCTTGATTTTGGCTTAGGTCATGATTCCAGCACTGTGGAATCGAGCCCTGTGTCTGGCTCTGCGCTGAGCATGGAGCCTGCTTAAGATTCTCTCTCCCTGAGGCACCTGGGTGGCTCAGTCGGTTAAGTGTCTGTCTTCGGCTCAGGTCATGATCTCACAGTTCGTGGGTTCGAGCCCTGCATCGGGCTCTATGCTGACAGCTGGCTCAGAGCCTGGAGCCTGTTTCAGATTCTGTGTCTCTCCCTCTCTCTCTGACCCTCTACTGCTCACGCTCTCTCTCAGAAATAAAGTATTAAAAAAAAAAAAGATTCTCTTTCTCTCTGCCCTCTGCTTGTGTATTCTCTAAGAATAAAAAAATAAAGTGAACCAAAATAAACAGAGAAAAGTGATGAAGATGACCAAATAATACACTTACACATTTTTTAAAAGGTTCAATTTAGAAACTCCAGAGCTGCCTGAAACCAGGCTATAAAATAGGGAGAAAACAGAGAGCCAAAAAAAAAGGTCTTGGAAAATAAAAACACAAGTGCAAAAATAAATCCAACAGAAGGAACTGAATAATAATAAAAGACCAACCTGGTCAAAAATCAGCCATCTAGAACAGGTTTAACAAACTATAGTTGCTGGGCCAAATCTGGCCATGGTCTCAATTTTATAAATACAGCTTTGTTAGAATGTAGCTGCACGGATGCATTTACATATTGTATAAGGCTGCTTTCACACCCCAATGGCCGAGTGGAGTAGCTGCGATGGAGACCACGGACCACAAAGCCTAAAATATTTACTATATTCCTGACCTAGAAAATAAAGCCAAGCAACGGGCATAGAAGGTGAGGCAAAACCCCAAAACAAACAAGAAACAAAGAAACAAAAAAAACCAAAGGAATGGAGAATTTGAAGGCAAGATTAAAAGACATGTGAAGCCTATGTCTAAAAGTTCTAACCTCTGTCTAGTAAGAATTCCACAAAGAGAAAACTAAAAAGAAGAGTGGGAAAGGAATACTCCAAGAAATTAGAAGAATGTTTTCTAGAACTAAAGAAGGTAAATCCTTAGGTTTGAAGAGCCTACCTGACTACTGGGCTGAATGAACAAAAAGTTCCATGTTTAGATCTATCATACTAAAGTCACAGCACAGTAGGGAGGGATAAAGAAAATCCCAACTAAAAGCCTCTGAAGAATAAATTCAGGTTCTTTACAAGGGTAAGAATGTTTGATGTCAGAGTCCCTTTTTAGGATGCTGACAACATCCTAACCTACAAACCAGATAAAGATAGGATGAATAAAGAAGGGCACATGCTCACATGATTCATAAACACAGATATAAAAACTAAAAAGCATCAAAGTAAGGAGCACCTGGCTGACTCAATCAGTAGAGCACACAACTCTTGATCTCTGGGTCAAGAGTTTGAGCCCCACTTTGGGCAAAGAGATTATTTAAAAGAAAAAGCAAGCATTAAACTAAATCTAGCAATGTATAAAAAAACTGAACCGCTAGAGTACATGTTCATTTTACTACTCATTAAATTGTATACATATATCTACGCTAAGCAGTTAGACTTTCAAATTTAAAAGGTTTAAAAATTAGAGGTGCCTAGTTAGCTCAGATAGTGAAGCATGTGTCTCTTGATCTCAGGGTTGTGGGTTTGAGTCCCACATTGGGTGTAGAGATTATTTAAAAATAAAAATCTTAAATTAAAACAAAAACAAAAAAAAGTTTAAAAATTAGAGTACAGAAAGAGTTACAAAATATAGGGAAGAAAATTAGAATGCTTAATTAAAACCTCAAAACTCAAATAAAACATACACTAGTATTTTGGTGTATTTTTTGCAGTGTTCTTTGTAGGCATATAGTTTTATCTTTACAAAACTGGAATCATCTCATATATATGGATGTTATTCCTGAGAATAAGTTTTTAGAATTCCAGGATGTTATTCCTGAGAATAAGTTTTTAGAATAGGAAAATAAACATCCTCCTCCTCCAAAAATAAGGTTCTTACTCTAAATCTAAAGGTCAAAAGCACTATGTGTTCTTTTGTAACTTTTCTTCATTCAATACAATGAAGAGAAGTTTTCAACATCATTACGGTTAAAAACGTGACTTATGACAATAATCACTTTGGTACCTACCTACCGTAATTGAATTTCTGTTGGATATTTAAGTGGTTTCTAGTTTCCTACTACTAACGCTATGATGAACTAACCGTTTTTCCGTCTTTGAAGAAGAGAATTCATACCAGTGAGTAATTAATTACTTAAATTGTTATGGTAAGGAAAGAAATAACAGAAGTTGGTTCTAGAGTTTACTTACCTGCTGCCTCCTCACTGTTTGGACCAGCTGACATGCCTAACCGCTCCTTCATTTATTTGGAAATATGAACTGTAAAAAAAAAAAAAAAAAAAAAAAAAAATTAAAATATTAAAATAAAAACAAAAAGTTGAACCCAGACTTTTTTCTTCATTAGTATTATTACTATTATTTTTTAATTGAGAGAGAGCGCGCGCACGAGCTCATCAGCAGGGAAGAGCGAATCTCAAGCAGGCTCCATGCTCTGTGCAGAGCCTGAAACGGCTTGATCCCATGATGTTGGGATCCTGACCAAAGCTGAAATCAAACGGACACTCGACTGAGCCGCTCAGGTGCCCCAGAATCTCCCCCCCCAAAGTTCACAAATTAGGCTTATGCTTGTCTTCTAATGCAAATTCTTTAAGGAAAAAAAAAAAGATCTCTTAAGATCTTAAAAATTTTCTTTTCCACAAAGCAGACCTACGTGAATCATGGATTCCCTAGAGTATTCTGGAAAGTTTAAAAGAAAATTTTTTTAGATCTGAAGAGCAAAAACTACTGAATTCTGGGAAATAATTTTGTTATTGTACAGCCTTCTAAAATCTTAGTGGCATCAAAAGGCTCCCATGCCTCCAATCTATTTAAAATATGCTTTTTAGTTTTCAATATGACAGGGAAGGAGAAAAAGGGCTGCCTAAAAAAAGAATAACTTCTATTTGCTCTGAGAATGAAAGGAAGCCTCTAAACTCATCTACTCATCAAAGCCTCTTGGGGGCGCCTGGGTGGCTCAGCTGGTTAAGTGTGCTGTCAGTGCAGAGCCTGCAACAGATCCCATCCCTTTTTCTCTCTACCCCTCCCTGCTCGTGCTCTCTCCCTCAAAACTAAACACACACACACTTTTTTTTTTTTTTTTAATAGTAATTAACACCAATGTTTCACTAAGTCATAAAAGGAAAAAATTCCAAACCGGAGTTCTTTCTGTAAACAGAACTTCAACCACATAGTCACTGTAACTCCCAAACATCTCTCAGGTTAGTCCATATCTCTCCATGCCAACTTCCAGGACCACTGTATCTATGCCACTAACTCCTCTCATCCAGACGATTTTAACATCCTGCTAACTAATATTCTAGACAGCACTCTTGTCTCCTTCTAACCTTTTTCCATCTTTCAGGCAGGGTGATGGTTCTAAAATGCATATCTGAGCTTTTGATCCTTGTTCATAAGCTTCCCATGGATTGCTGCTAAGCCCAAAGTCTCTACTATGGCTTAAAAGTCTTTAGATGGGGGTGCCTGGGTGGTTCAGTCAGTCAAGTGTCTGCCTCTTTGATTTTGGCTTAAGTCATGATTCCACGGTTGTGGGATCAAGCCCCACGTTGGGCTCTATGCTGGGGGTGGAGCCTGCTTGAGATGGTCTCTCTCCCTCTGCTCTGTTCACCCGCACGCCCATATGTGCTCTTTCTCTCTCCTTTGCATATGTTATTCTCTCTGCCTGGACACAGCCTCTGGCCGTTCAACATCACCTGGCTAATTCCTAACTCATGTTTCAGATCTAGGCTTCAACCTGGGAACCCTTCCTTGACAGTAATAAAGGTGCATTTCCTATGTGCTCCCATAACACTGTGTACTTTTTTAAAAATTTATTTTAGAGACAGCACATGCAAGTGGGGGATGGGCAGAGAAAGAAAGAATCCCAAGCAGGCTCCATGCTGAGGCGGGGCTCAATCCCACAAACTATGAGATTATGACCTGAGCCAAAATCAGGAGTTGGACACTTAAATGACTGAGGCATCCAGGTGCCCAACACTGTGTACTTTTTCTGTCACAGAATTTATCACAATATATAGAAGTATCCCCATCTGCCATTATCTTATAAACTCCTGAGGACTGTGATGGTATTTATTTTCTCCAGCGGTGTCTACCTAGAATCTAGCAGAGTAAACATTAAAATGTTTGTTGAATACAGACACAAGATAATCTAATTTACCTGAACAAAAAAAGAATGCAAACTGTCCCTGATAACATTACTAGAGAGAACTGTCATGATTACACACACACACACACACACACACACACACACACACACACCCGCATGCACAAAGTGTATTAGAATGAAGGTACCTTTCTTTGGTGCTTTGTCAGTGTTAGTTTCTGTAGCTTCAACTTTCTTCCCTAACCTCTGTGCGAGGCTACGCTTTAACGGAGGATCGCTGTCACCACCTACAGCCAGACAGAACTTAGTTTAAGAGTTTAAATCAATCTTCAGCAAGGTTAAGAAACATAAGCAAACAGACAATGCAGAAGAATTGTTAAGTATTCTGTGTTTATATGGTGTTCATTCACCAGCTTCCTTAGAATTCAATGTTAGAGAATACAAATGTCCCAGCACATGTGAAAAACATAAAGAAATTCTGTAAGTTCTTGCAGCCAAGAAACTCAGAGGGACCAGCAAACCAGTATCAATGTGACATCCATACAAAGGAGTTCTGGAGGACACACAATATTGATGCATAAACACAAAACAAAGGATCTGCACAAAATTTATCTCACCTACTGAAAATTTTCGTTTTCCCAGCCTCTCGGTTAGACTCAATCTTACCAAGGGTTCTTCTCCTGAAATGGCAAAAACAGAATTTCTCTACCATTAGCCAATTTTTCTGTATTCAGTAACTAATAATGGGTTACAAAGTATACTCTGAAATTATGTCCACCCAGGAAGTCTCTTGAAAATCAGATCTCAGTATTAAGACTGTATCTCATTGGAATTAAATTATTAATAATAATTTAAAAAGACTATATCTCCTTGGGGGGGAAAGATTTAACCTATGAAAAAATTTTTAAGTTTATTTATTTGAAAGTGAGAGTAGGGGAAGGATAGAGAGAGAGAGAGGGTCCCAAGGAGACTGCGCTGTGAGTACAGAGCCCCATGAGGGGCTCAAACTCATGAATCATGGGATCATGACCTAAATCAGAGTCGGATGCTTAACTGACTGAGCTACCCAGGGGCCCTATTAAATAATTTAAATAGCCAAATGCACAGCCCAAAGGGAACTAATAACACAGTCCTAATTTTAACAGTAGCCTGTATATGAACACAGGTTGTGTCTAACCAACTGATTATAAAACCCAAGCTATTCTTTTGCTTGTGCACTTCGATACACTCAATGAAATCACAGTCTACTCCACTGGTCACCCTCGTACAGAACTTTGATTACCAGCAAAAAGTGAGCTCTCTTTCTTCTAATTCTTTGTTGTCTGAACAGCACATTTAAATGTATCTACACTACACTTACTTGTGTCATTATTTCTTACCACACTGAAAACTATTAAGGGAAAACACTTCCAATTTCCTATAGCTTAAAGACTTTATTATAGTTTTTGACCCCCAACAGGAAGTCAATAAATCTGTTGAATGGATACAGATAAATGGGGTGAATATAAGAATTAAGTATACATAAATGTGAGAGCTGCTTGAACAAGAATTTTAACCTTTTAAGTAAAAGTCAAATGCACTGATTTTTCTTTTCATCCTTGTATCTAACCAACATACTAAAGTCTTCCTGCAAATCCATCCAAGGTTGGCTATGCCCTAGGACTTTGCTCTCCCAGTTATTTAAAAGTAGTAGCCTGACAGCTCTCAACCCAGACCGACCTGTATCTCACCTTGTTTGCTGGAAAGAGTTACTGTCCTCACTACAGTCCGGACATTCTCTTTTTCAGGACCAGGAATGGGCTGAGGTTCGAGTAAAAGGCTGGAAACTCCGGAAGAACCTTCTGAATAAAACAAGTCAGAGAACAGCGAATAATTTATGAAAAAATAAAGCTACTACAAGCCAAGAAATTTTCTTTTTGTGCCCAGTTAAGTTTGACACAGACTCCAAGCCAGTCCCGCATAGGCAAGCTGAGTTGCCTATAGTGAATTAGCGTGGGGCAAGAGAAGAGAGAACCCCCATGTCTTACCTGCCTCGGTCACAACGTAAAAGTAAAATATAAAATTGTTTTCAGTGACTTAGGCACCTAACCTTCTTTTATTTGCCAAGAAGGCTAGCATCCTAAAGTTAACCTCAGAAGCACACCAGCCACCAAGCATGTGTCAACTCAACCTTTTAAAATCTGTATTTTAATTGTCTGTAAAACACAGCTCCAAGGTTCCTACAGAACAACCTTTAGCAAGGGAGTACTTAGAACCAACCACTTGATCCTCTCTAAATACTATGTTTCACACTGTATCTGTAGTTTTTAGGGCTGGAAGTATAGAGCAACCAGGCTGAGACAAGCTCTAGAAGAAAACTGTAGCAGCTCCTGAGAAGAATTCATCAACTCAAAAATCAAGTTTTTCCTGTCTTAATATGATTTGTATGCCATTCTTTGGAGCTGTATTTCTCAGGACAGAGCAGTTCTTTCCAGAACTGTTGTCCACACCTAGCTCTGAGTTAAAAAGCAGCCCTGATTTCAAGAAGTTGGTGCTTCACTCCAAACAAACTACATGTGCTCACTCTAGCTGCTGCCAAGCGTCCTTCTTAGAAGAAGCACTCCTGTTATTCTCCTGTAGCAAAATCTGACCACCATGTCAAACTTGATGACTTACCACCTTGCTTCTTGGATTTTTCCTTCATTTTCTTTGACTTAATTTCCTCAAGGGTTTTTATTCCAAAATTCAAACATTCACCTGAGAAATGCAAACAAACCACATGAGGAACGAATGCCTCACGCCCTCTGGGTTTTATTTGTGCACAGCAAGCACGCAAATGTTTTCTGGACAAATGAGAGACAGCATATGTAAGTCTGGTTGTGCATGGAGTGGAGGCAGAGGAGACAGAGGTGGTGGTGATCATGATCAACGTTCCCAAGTTATTTAAAACGGTCTGGGCACATTCAATACTGCTGGAAGACTCACGGGCAGGCACCATCAACAACACAGCCTCTCCTCACCTGGTTTCAAACTGGCCCCAGGTTTGCGGGCAGAAGCTGCTCGTAGTCCATTGTGAACCTCAGGAGGTGGTTGCAGGATGGGTGTTTTGGTTTCATCGCCTTCCTCAGAAAATTGATCTACGTATCAACATGTAAGGCAAATGTGCGATTAACAGGCTCTAATCCTGAATCTAACTCACCAAATGACCCCAGTCACTTATTTGCCTTAGAGAAAAAGCTGAAACTCACCATCATCATCTTCATCATCATCTGCAGCATTGATTACAACTGGTGGATGGGTGGGGCTGGGAACATTTTCTGAACTTTCTACTTTCATAACACTTCGCAGCTGGGGGGAGGGATTAGACTGGACAGATAGTTTGTTCTGCTGAACTGTGAGCTGGTTAGCCTTCACTTCCTCTTCTGGTGACTCAGGCACACTGGGGAGCACAGCTAGAGGTACAACATCAGCCAGAAGTTAAAAACAGGAGATAAAGTCCCACTTCATCAAAAATCTCCAAACACATGGAAGTTTGGTGCATTTTCCTCAAGAGCACTTATGTCCTTGTATACCTGATTTCCCCATTTTCACAATTAAGTTTTACACTCCCAGGAAGGGAAACTAGGGCTACACTTTTTTTCAGCTACACTTCTCTGTACATAAACACACCCAAAGTAGGTGTTCAAAACACAGATTAATCTGGAGGCCAGACGCATAAAATTGTTTGCAAATTCTAGACATTTAATACTGAAATTTGAGGGTTTTGCTCAACAAATAAGTAGTTATTAAAAGACATAGTAGATATTAACACTTTTGAACCAAACCAGAGAGGAGCTAACCCACTTTTTTCTCTTAAACAGGAGCCAAAATGTGTGGCCATCAAATTTTAATCATATAAGCAGGATTGGCAAACCCTTCCTATGAAGAGATGGACAGTAAGATATCAGGCTTTGTAGACCTCTGTGTCTCAACTCTTCAATTCTGCAGCAGGAGCGTAAAATCTGGCCATAGAAAATACATGAATGAATAGGCATGGCTTCCTTCCAATGAAAGTTTATTTTATAAAACAGAGGGAGGACCAGAACTGTTAAACCCTGGCCCAGAGAATCAAGTTTCTTTTGAAAAAGTCATTGGGTCTGATAAGAAAATGGGAAACAAAGCTATAATAATCTAAACTGTCATGCTAAGAAACATTTGTGAAGCAGCATGGCTTTTGGTGACAAAGTTTTAATCATGATTATGATACTGCTTTATGAGCAGGGCTATGTACAAGTCATTTAACTTTAATTAAAAGTTCAGTTCCCTGATTTAAAGTGGAAATAAAATTGTTCTCACAGTGTATTTAAAGTACTCTGTACACTGCACATAGCAGATGTTCATTAAATAGTAACTATTCTTTTAAAACTAAAAACATATCTCACTTTTGCTTGGAGGTAGGAAAAGGCCATCAACGTAACGTCCTCTGTTGTGATGGAAAGCGCAGTTCAGTTTCTGACATCCCATTGGCTGATTTTCCCAGTAACAAGGAATCTCACTACGTTTTTTCTATAAGAAGAAAAAACACATTGTTTTCAAATAAAAAATGAGCTGTGACCTGTATTAACTTGGTCATTTGTTTTCTGAATAATTTCTGAGGTATGTGAGTTGACTATGAGCATGAGGAAGAGGGGCTGCTGAGAGTGACACTCCTTATGCTTGTTGGAGAGATGAAGTGGGAAGGGAAGGAGTTCATCTGCTGTTGTCTCCTCCCTGCCCTCATTCTGGAACCTCTAAATGCCTGCACTGAATTTACAGATGCAGGATAATATATTAGTTAAGATTCTGGAATCAAAGATAACATTATGCTACCTACTGGCTATGTGATGGCCTCTAAGTCTCAGTATCCTCAGCTATAAAATGGCAGTAAGAGTAGCTGTCTACTTAAGTTTATTATAAGAAATAAGTGAAATAACGTAGATGAAACCTTAGCACATAGAAAGGACTCATTAAACCGCAGTTATTATTTGAAGCTCAGAGTTCATAGCTTTGAGATCAATTTTCCCTTTAGTGATTTCTCTAAGTAAGGCACATATCACACACTAAGGACTGGTATTTTCCTTCCCCAGCTACTGCACTCTTATGAAGGGGAATGAGAAAAGAAACACCCTCACATCTAGAATAAACTGCTGTGTCACAGAATACATGCCCAGCAGAAATACATCAGTTCCCATACATGTACACATGTGTACAATACTATTTGTAATAGCTCCAAAATGGAAACCCAAATGTCCATCAATGCCAGATAAATACACTGTAGTTTTTTCATACAAGAGTACTCTACCCAGCCCTGAGAAGGCATAAACCATTGCTACACTTAACACGACACTGCAAATGGAAAGAAGCCAGACACAAGAGTACACACAGTGTTATTCTACTGATACTGAGATCAAAACAGGCAAAACTTCTCTGTGGTAGAGCAGTCAGGTTAGTGAGGAGTTTCGAGGGAGTGGTTAGCGACAATCAAGAGATAAAGGGGGAAAACAGAATCACATCTGTTGGGTTATGTTGGAGCTCTCATTATAATAAGCAACCTAAGCTTTAAAACTGTAGGAAAGTGGGACTCCTGGATGGCTCAGCTGGGTGAGCATTTGACTCCTGATTTTGGCTCAGGTCATGATCTCACATTTCTGAAATGGAGCCCTGCATCAGGTTCCACACTGGGCGGGGAGCCTGCTCTCTCTCCCCCTCCACCCCTCCTCCACTTGAGCACATATGCGTGCTCCCTCGTGTGCTCTAACATAAATAAATAAATAAATAAATAAAATTCTAGGAAAGAATAACAGCATTACTTCAAAAAGCTAAAAATATGCAAGAGAAAAGCAGATAATCAATTACCACTATAAAAAGATCCTTAAATGCAACAAAAAGGGCAAAGATGAAAATTGATGATATTGAGAAATTATCTGATAATACACCGTGTCAGTGGGGATGTGGGAGAGTCACAGGGCCCCATGTACTGACAACAGAGATGAAAAGTAGCTCAACATCTCTGAAAGGCAGTTTGGTTTAAAAAAAAAAAAAAAAAGTACTTATAAAACTGATGTCCTGAGTTTACTGCCACATTGCGTGATTACCTATTTTTAAACAGTAGAGCAAATACCTTTACCTTTCGAAGAAATGGACAGAAGTTATCAGTTACTTGGCACACCCAAAAGAAAGCATAATAGCTACTAATCTTTTTTAGACAAAAGTAACAATTATTCATTTACTCCTTCCTTAAGGCAGAACCTCATGCTCCTGGCTCTGTCTTTGCTTAAGTTTTTACTTCTTTCCTGGAAGCTGTTTTCAAATTACTGGATGACTTCTGTACGGTATCTTCTAGGTGCACAAGTCACATAACATTTATCTAATCTGTTTAACACACGTACTGGATTTTGCTTCTTTTTAAAAAAATGTTTATTTTTGAGACAGAGAGAGAGAGAGAGAGAGAGAGACCACAAGCAGGAGAGGGGCAAAGAGAAAAAGGGAGACAGAACGTGAAGAAGGCTCCAGGCTCTGAGCTGTCAGCACAGAGTCCAATGTGGGGCTCTAACACACGAACCTTGAGATCAAGAACTGAGCTGAGGGGCGCCTGGTCAGCTCAGTCGGTTAAGTGTCCAGCTTCGGCTCAGGTCATGATCTCACAGTTCATGGGTTCGAGTCCTGTGTCGGGCTCTGTGCTGATGGCTAGCTCAGAGGCTGTAGCCTGCTTCAGATTCTGTATCTCCCTCTCTCTCTGGCCCTCCCCTGCTCACGCTGCCTCCCCCCTCAAATAAATAAAACATTAAAAAAAAAAAAAACCGAGCTGAAACCAAGAATTGGACATTTAACCAGCTGAGCCACCCAGGTGCTCCACTGGATTTTCTTCTAAATGAAAAGTAATGCACAATGAAAAACACTTGGAAAATGTTAATAAAAGCTTGCTATGCTATCACCCGATGAGACATACGGAATTCTCTCTCCAAACAGGTATCTGTATCTATATCTATAACTAAAGGTGTGCCTGGCTGGCTTAGCTGATAGAGCCTACGACTCTGGATCTTAGGGTCATGAGTTCAAGCTCTGTGCTGGGCATAGTATACTAAAAAAAAAAGAAAAAGGAAAAGAAAAAATTATAAATGTCTACATGTACACTTAAAACAAAAGTATTCCATCTAATTGTATACATTTTTCATTTAGCAACAGACCCTCCATAGTAACATTCTCCTATAGAATTTTTTCTTAATGTTTAAAAAGTAATACGGCACATGGTCCAAAGACATGCAGCTGACTCTCATTATTTGCAGTAGTTACGTTCTATGAAGTCACCACAAACACTAAATTAGCTAACAGGGAACAAGACTGGTCCTAAGGGAAATACAGAGTTAGAGTTAGTCAGGTTCCCTCAAGCTTCTGGTCCGAGTTTTATCAAATGATCAATATAGCACTGGCTGCAGGTGTGTTTGTGTTTAAAGACACCTTGTTTAATATATTCATTAACACTGAACTCAAGCCCAGGGGCACTATAACTCACAACCGATTGAAGCTTATCTAATGCAGGTATTTTCCACATACAGCACATCCAAACTTCCCCGCACCCAGGAACACCACACAGCACTTCAGTACCACACTTGGGAGCCACTTTAATCAGCAAAATCACTAACAAAAAGGACAAAAATGCAAAACACGAAGCTTTAAACAGACCCCAGAAAGGACACTTGCTTATGGTATATGAGAACCGAAACAAGCCAGCAGAGTGTCACCTTGTCAAATCTCAGCTGGGGGTGTGTAAGTCGCCATGACTCAAATTTGTCAATGCTCTTGCATGCATCTGCAGATGGCCCATGAAAGCATCACGAGTGTTGATTTGGGGGTTACAAATAAACTTTGGCGAGAAGGGGAACTTGCAAACATGAATAATGAAAATCAACTGCATGCAGAAGGGGTTACAGTAATAGGCTCCTTTCCATTCCTGTCCCCGCTCCCTGATGGCCAGTGTTTTATGCCCCCACCCCCCTTAAAGTATCTTTTTAAATTTTTTAAATGTTTATTTTTGAGACAGAGAGAAGCAGAGCGTGAGCAGGGGATGGAGAGAGAGAGGGAGACACAGAACCTGAAGCAGGCTCCAGGCTCCGAGCTGTCAGCACAGAGCCTGATGCGGGGCTCAAACCCACAATCCGCAAGACCATGACCTGAGCCAAAGTCAGACACTTAACTGACTGAGCCACCCAGGTGCCCCTACGTTTCCCCTTTATACTCCCAGAGATTTTAAAAATACACATGCAAATGAAAAACAAATATAAATTCTTTTTTTTTTTACACAAATGATAGCATATAATGCACCTTATCCTACCCTTTGCTTTCTCACTGACAATATATACCAATCTTTATCAACTGTTTTCCTTTAAAAATTTTTTAACACCTGCCCAGCACTCCACTGTATGAATGTAGCAAATTCACTTTATCAAAAAATTTTTTTAAATGCTTTATTTTTGAGAAAGAGAGAGTCTAAGTGGGGGAAAGGCAGAGAGAGAGGGAAGCACCAAATCCAAAGCAGGCTCCAGGCTCTGAGCTGTCAGCACAGAGGCTGACATGGGGCTCAAACTCACAAACCATGAGATCATGACCTGAGCTGAAGTTGGACACTTAACCAAGTAAGCCACCCAGGCGCTCCTGAATGTAGCAAATTTATTTTAAATGAAGGTTAGTGATTTCACATATTTTATCATTACTAATTATGCTACAATGAGTGATTCTGCATCTATCTCCTTCTGCACATATAAGCACAGATGACACAAAGATAAACAAAACAACCCTCCCCCCCACCCTGCCACAGAAATTTTGAAAATGCAGCCCAAAGGCCGCTCTCCTTAGGCAGCCTACTTGCTCAGCTGACCCTTGGCTGGCATGTGGGAACTTGGCTCTTGGAATGTTCCTAGTCAGTTAATTGATCACGGTGCCTAGACTGTGCAAATATCAAGTCTCAGGGTGAACACCTGCCATCCTTCTGAAGAGTCTAGAGTTTGGAATGTGATAGGTGGAGGGTGCTTACATGATTCTCCCCATTAAAAGTCTTGGATGCTGAGTCTCTAATGGGCTTCCCTGGGCAGGGACATCTCACACATGGTGCTGCACTTTCACTGCTGGGGCAAGTGTGTGCTATGTGTGACCCCTCCTGGGAGGGAGATCATAAAAGAAAACCACACATGGATTCTTCCAGATTCTGCCTGTGTCATTTTTTCTTTAATGATCAGTGTACCTCCTCATCACTGTAATAAATTTTGGCCCTGAAATATAACTATATGCTGAGTTTCATGAGTTCTAGAGGATCTATACATGTCAATTTTTTTTTTTAAGTTTATTTACTTAAGTGAGACAGAGAGATCATGAGCAGGGAAGGGATGGGCAGAGAGAGAGGGAGAAAGAATCCCAAGCAGGCTCTGCACCGTCAGCAGAGCCCAATGTGGGGCTTGAACCCACAAACTGTGAGATCATGACCTGAGCTGAAACCAAGAGTTGGACACTTAACCAAGAGAGCCACACAGGAGCCCTTCCAAATGTAGATCTTCTTAGAGACCTTGACACACAACACCTTTTAGGGAATTGTGCCAATTTACACTTTGCCAGCAATGTTACAACATTAATTTTCAAAAGCTGCAGAGTATTTTTCTGAATATATTTAGCGAATTCCCTGCTCTTTAGAAGACAGGCAGCACAGAATGCAGTTAAGAGGCCATAAATCTAGAGGCCACCTGGAGTAGCTCTATGACCCCAGGCATATAAACTGCATAGTCAGTCTCTTCCTTCTTTCCCCACCTCCTTCAAACAATGTAGTCCAAAGGCATTAGGTGAGGCTGAGAGAGGAGAGGTGGGCATTCATGCTGGCAGAGGAAAAGGCATGTGGTCCAGAGCAGGGTGTTAGAGGCTGGCTGAATGAGGAAGGCATTGTGTGGAACAGGCCAAGGGTATCAAAATCCAGGAGGAGTTGGAAGGGCGGCCAGCACAGTGCTGTAACCAAGCAGGGTGAGCAAGGCTTCCGTGCAGAAGGGATCCCAGTGTAGGAGGAGGAGTGTGTATTAATGGAGGGCCAGCCTGGAATGGGCAACAATGTCCAAGCTGGGTGAGCCAGGAAGGGTCTTCCCAAGTGGAGACCTGCTGGAGTCAGAATACACGCAAGGTGAGAAAAGTAGGCATCTCACACAGGAGGGCTGTCCAACACAGATGTCAGAGACCAAAGGTGTGCAAAGGGCATCCATGGGGAGAGGAGTCCAGAGCAGTATGTTGGGGTCTGAGCATGGGGAGGATGAAGACCTCATGGTGGAAGAGGAAAAGGTTTGTTACAGGGTTGCTGGAACCAACATAAGGTGAGAAAACTGTCCCTGTGGACGAGCAGCAGCGTTGTGGGTGACGTCAGAGCCTGAGAGGAAGGAGGAGGCTATGGTATAATACTGGCTTGCTCAGGGGACTGATAAAATCAGTTATTATTAAGGACAGTGGGGGGCGCCTCGGTGGCTTAGTTGGTTAAGCATCCGACTTTCGCTTAGGTCATGATCTCGCCGCGGTTTGTGGGTTCGAGCCCCGCGTCGGGCTCTGTGCTGACTGCCAGCTCAGAGCCTGGAGCCTGTTTCAGTCTGTGACTCCCTCTCTCTCTGACCCTCCCCTGCTCACGCTGTCTCTCTCTCTCTCCTAGAATAAAAATATTAAAAAAAAAAAAATATTAAGGACAGTGGGACGCAACTTTCTTACTTTTGGAAAAGAGAGTTATAAGTATGGAAAACGAGAAGCCTATGTTAAACCCTGCAATGCTGGTGAACTGAAGCCATCTATGTGAACTCTTGATTCAATACGCTGACATAAAGAATAAATAATGAGGTAAACGTGTGTATATAGATAAATACAGTTATATACTCCCTCGTTCTGTCCACTGCAGGCCTGGAAGCAGTGAGACTCCAGGAGCTGCCCAAATCTTACTTCTATATACATCTATCATTCTTCACTAACAGGATCTAGGGCTCCTTAGAGAAATGGCTGATTCCAAGGCTGGAGAAGGAAAAATACAGGATGAGCCTAAAAAATCTTATTAGGCCAGTAAGCAAAAAGGTGTTCAAAGAATGATGAAAACATCAAAAGGACACAAAAATCAGCCTGAAGGGCAAATCTGGGTCAATCTGATAAAAATGACAGTAATGGAGTGCAACACATTGAATAAAAGAGAAAACCTTGAGTTCACATGAATATAAATAACTAAGTGGAAAAAATGGAAAGTCTGGTAGGAAATGGGGCAATTACAGGGTCTCAAAGTACCTCTCCACAAAATTTGTGTTAGTTACAAAAAGAAAAGCTTTACAGTGAAGCAATCTGGTACACACCACCTTAATGAGGTGATCAGGGTTAATTTAACATCACTAGTAATGGGATAATTAAACTGAAACCTTACATCAATCTCCATGTGCCGAAACCTGCACACCTGTCGAAAACAGCGCCCCTCTTGCCATAATGTGCAAACAGTTTCATTTCCTAGTGCTGCTTCACAGTGACGGAATGGACAGCTGTCACCCTGTAAACAAAGAGAATAAAGAAATGTGGTACCAAAACAGTTTCCTGGCATCTGGACAAACACAAAGGGGTAAGGAGAAACAGGCAAGGTAGAAAACAGTGCAGGGGGAAGACAAGAACAACCTGAGATCAACAAATGTATAATTTCCTTGACAGTATCCTTCATCTGATTTGACAACATAAGTGACATAAGCTGAGATGTCAAAAAGAGGGGTTCAAAAAGGTAAGTGGGAGTACTGAAAGTGGTACACTTAAAAAAAATACATTTTACAGGTCTTCAAAACCATTTCACACATCTTGATTTGTATATCTAGCTTTTGATGGAAAATCAGAAAGTTAAGAGATTTGGATTTAAGTGTAATTCCCTGCTTCATTATATACTCTATACAATGGTAATATCTTAAACAGAACACTACTGCTGTGCAAACTGCTATATATGATCAGAGCTTTGCTCAAAACTGATTATTTTAAACATAGCACCAAAATGATTAAAAAAAATTTAACATATACAATTATAGAATTAGTCATAAAGGAACAGAAAAATGGATAGATCTAAACTTAGCTGCAGAAGAATCAAGCAGAAAAACAGGAAGTTTTAACAGAGAAAAAGCAAAAATGCTACAAAAGCATATTTAGAAGAATGGCTTGATTACTCAGCAGGAAATCTGAAGAAAAAAGTAGAATTCAACCCACGATAGTTTCTAGAAGTACAATACTACCCACTCATTCATTTAAAACAAAGTAAATAAAAGTCAAGTTTGCAAGCCAGGCCAAAGTACTCCTAATTCCGAAGTGGCTCTGAATAGACTAATTATCAACAAGAGAACAGTGAATGACAACTATGTGCTGTAGACCTTTCCACTCCCGTAGAACATGAAAAGCATAAATGAAGAGAAAAAACAAGGAGGAACAAGGAATTCTCCCAGGAGTGCTATTCTCTTTTTAAAAAAATGGTAGCAGGTACCAGATATTAAACAGTTGAGCAAAACAAAACATAAAAACTTAATATACTGGGTAAATCTTATCAAATTTTATTAGAGAAAGTATAAAAAGAACTGATTTGGAAATGCCAATTCTTACTTTGGTACATGTAGAATAGAAAAAAAAATAGCAGTCTTCGCCTTGATTAGGCATGCTGGGTAGATCCTTAGATTCGAAGTGGCTTCTTGAAAACAAGCCACTGCTTCCTCAAGGCGAGGACCAGCTACAAGTCCTCTTGGAGTGGGCTTAATCTTCCAAAAGACAAGTCAATCACAGAAATCGTCTTTAAAATGCAATCCTAAAATGAGGAGACAATGAATTAAAGTACGTCAGATAAATTCTGCCAACTTCCTCCACCTCAACTGAGATCAAACTGTTAAAACCAAATTTTAATTGTATAAATATGTAATTGCCTATCCAGGGCTTAGTGAGCACTGATTAACAGTTTATTCTTATGTGAATATTATACTTTCTCATTTATAATGTAAAATTTTTGTTAAGGATAGCCATGCTCTTCTTTGGTTTTCTCTACAGTGCTCATTACATGACTTCAACACAAAATTAAGTAAGCACTGCTAATTCAATAAATAATCTACATTTCATTTTATTTTTTTAAATATTTATTTTTGAGAGAGAAAGAAAAAAAGAGCACAAGAGTGGGAGGGGGAGGGAGAGAGGGCGACACAGAATATGAAGCAGGCTCCAGGCTCTGAGCTGTCAGCATAGAGCCTCATACGGGACTCAAACTCACAGAATGCTAGATCATGGCCCGAGCTGAAGTTGGACTCTTAACCAACTGAGACACCTAGGTGCCCCAATAATCTACATTTTAGATTATTAATGGGATTTACATTATTTGACACAAGATACGTGTGAAATCTACATTTCTGACAAACTAGGTTTTTTTTCATCTGACAAAAGTTCTAATGTTTTCACAAGCATTTTTATTTCAAAAGTATAGAAGTAGGTGGGAAAAACACACTAGAATAACTGATGAAACAATACTGCAGAATACATCTGTAGAACTAGCCTATGTAATTAAGATAGAGTTGCACAATGGGGGGCCTGGGTGGCTCACTGGGTTAACCATCCAACTTCTGGTATCAGTTCAGGTCATCTCAGTTTGTGGGACTGAGCCTCACATCAGGCTCTGTGCTGATAGTGCAGAGCCGCTTGAAGTCTCTCTCTCTCCCCCTTCCCTACTCACACATGGACCCCCCCCTCAAAAATAAACTTTAAAAAAATTTGCAAAATTAAAAAAGAAGAAATCATGGTTGACAAAGAAGGAGCTGTACACCAATCACAACAAGGTGCAAAAGTCATCCTTGGGATTCTTCCCATAAACAATGCTTACACAAAACCACCAAAACCCCCCACCCTCAGTTCCTGCCATTTCCCCACCCTCACACTGAAGTGTTCAAGAAAGCTTCTACGGAAATAAAAACACATGATAAGAGCACATGCCAGAATTTGGAAAGGGTTTCTATAAACTCACATATACCCAAAGACCAGGTTTCAGAAACACTGATCTACAACCTGAAATCAATTCAATTCAATCTTATCTCCCACTAATAATCCTAATCCAAGAACAGCAGGCCACAATAAAAACCAGCCTTGAAGTCAGCAACCTAAGTTTGGAATTAAGAGTCTGCCACTAAACCTATTAACTAAAACCTTTAAATTTGCATACTGTGACTCACAGTTTCATTTCTAGAATTTATCCCAAGATAAATATTCAACCAAGTTCACCATCACTTTGCTTCTAATAATAAGAAAACACCTAAATGTTCAGAAACTGGAGTCTGTTTTAAAAAGTTATGGAACTTTTTAAAGTTTTAAAAGTTATGGAACTATGTGGTAATATGCAACATTATACAGATTTTAGTACTGGGAAATGGGGTCTGGCTGAAAAGCTACCTAAAAATGTGGAAGAAACTTTGAAACTGGGTCATGGGTAGAAACTAGAAGAGTTTTGAGGCACTTGATAGAAAAAGCCTAGAAGAAACTGCTGCTGAAAACATGAACATTAAAGGTGCTTCTGGTAAGGCTTCTGTGGAAACACTGTTAAGAAAATGGAAGACACGGGGCACCTGGGTGGCTCAGTCAGTTGAGCATTCGGTTTGGCTCAGGTCATGATCTCATGGTTCGTGGGTTCGAGCCCTCTGTCGGGCTCTGTGCTGACAACTAGCTCAGAGCCTGGAGCCCGTTTCAGATTCTGTGTCTCCCTCTCTCTCTGACCCTCCGCTGCTCATGCTGTCTCTTTCTCAGAAATAAATAAAAACATTAAAAGAAAGAAAGAGAAGAAAGAAAAGGAAAGAAAGAAAGGAAGGGAGGGAGACAGAAAAAGAAAGAAAGAAAGAAAGAAAGAAAGAAAGAAAGAAAGAAAGAGAAAGAAAGGAGAAAGAAAAAAGAAAAAGAAAGGAAGAAAGAAAAAGAAAGGAAGGAAGAAAAAGAAAACGGAAGGGTTTATCTCGATGGCTCAGTCGGTTAAGCATCCAACTTCAGCTCAGGTCACGATCTCATGGTCTTTGGGTTCAAGCCCTGTGTCGGGCTCTATGCTGATAGCTCAGAGCCTCAGGCCTGCTTCAAATTCTGTCTCCCTCTTTCTCTGCCCCTCCCCTACTTGTGATCTGTCTCTCTCGCTCTTGAAAATAAACATAAAAAAAGTTAAAAAAAAAAAGAAAGAAAATGGAGCACAAGTCACAGACTGGCAGAAAATCTTTGCAAAATACGTAACTGAGGGGCACCAGCTTTGGCTCAAGTCATGATCTCACTGTGAGTTCAAGCCCCACGTTGGGCTCTGTGTTGACAGTTCGGAGCCTGGAGTCTGCCTTGGGTTCTGTGTCTCCCTCTCTCTGCCCCCACCCCCAGCCCCCACTCATGCTCTCTCTCAAAAAAAAATATTAAAAAAAAAACCACACTATATAACTCATAAAGGACAGGTATCCAAAATGTGAAAAGAACATTTAAAACTCAACAATAAGAAAATGAACAAACCAATTTAAAAATGGGCATAAAGGAGTGCCTGGGTGGCTCATTCAGTTAAGTGTCAGACTCTTGATTTTGGCTCATGTCATGATCTCACAGCTAGTAGGACTGAGCCCCATGTTCAGCTATGCGCTGACAGTGCAGAGCCTGTTTTGGATCCTCTCTCCCTCTCTTTCCTCCCCTCCCCTACTCTCTCTCTCAAAAATAAATATATTTTTTTAAATGGGCAAAAAATCTAGACAGATACTTCACCAAAGATACACAGATGGCAAATAAACATACAAAAAAAATATGTTCATCATACATCATTAGGGAATTGCAAACTCCTTTCAGAATGGCGAAAATCCAGAACACCGTCACCACTAAGTGCCGGTGAAGATGAAACAACAGAAGTTTGGAAGAACATAGACCAAACTGTTAATAGTAGTTACTACCAGGGTGATTGGTAGGATTACAGGGGGCTATTATTTTGTTCAGAATATGATTACATTTTCTAATACAATGCACATAGACATAGTAAACAAACATGTCTGTCCTAACTGGCCTGCCCATCACAGGTCCACTACAGAATGGGACAAGGATTGGACCTTTCACAGGACCTTCACTGATCTGCTGGTAGGATTCCCCTGACCCTAAACACGGGGAGTGTGTTCTGCAATTGGGGGTACACCAAGAGGTAATTTAAAACACTACCTCAAATGTGATCAAGACTCTAAGGGGTAGTCAAATAATTACAATGACACATGTGCAAAAAGTATTAATGAGACAAGAATAAAAACCTTTTACAAAAGAAAAAAAATTTTAGAAAGGAAAATAAAATGTTTAGAGGTCAATTTCAATCCTGAAAACATCCCAAAGAACTGTTGCTGGTTTCAGGAACCCCCAACACAGTAACCAAACAAAATGGTATGAAATAGTAGCAAAATAGCACGAATTCCTGCAAGTTAGAGTGAATTTTTTTGGTTTGTTTTTAAGTCAGGCTCTGCAAAACTCCCTCAGAGGGATGCAGAGCATGGAGGCTGAGTATGGAGTAGATGGGCACTGCCTTACTAATGTTTCAACAGAACAGTTCCTTCATATGTCTGTTTTACACACTGAACTTCTATAACTTTCACTAGGGGGAAGAAAGACTGTAACTGCTATTCAAGAAAATGGGCAAAAACAAAACAAACAGCATCCCCAAATATTAAAAAAAAAAAATTGACAGTAATCAGTACTACCCCAACTTTGTAAGGACCTAAAACCAAGATGCATGCTGATAAATTTCTTAAGTTTTAGAAGGAAAAACTTTTCGTGATGCCAAGAAAAACCTGATCTTTTTTTAAAAAATGTTTTATTTATTTCTGAGAGAGAGAGAGAGAGAGAAGAGAGACAGTGTGAGCAGGGGAGGGTCAGAGAGAGAGGGAGATACAGAATCTGAAACAGGCTCCAGGTTCTGAGCTAGTTGTCAGCACAGAGCCCGACGCGGGGCTCAGACACACGAACTATGAGATCATGACCTGAGCCAAAGCCAGACGCTTAACCGACTGAGCCACACAGGAGCCCCACCTGATCACGTTTCAACAGTGAAAGTAGGAAGCCAAAAGGAGTAACTCTTCTATCCCTCTCCTGAATTAATGTAGGAGAAAGGAGGAATTCTTTTATCATCTTCATGCTCTCAGTAAGGACACAGCTTGACACAGAGGAATATATTCCTATAAAAAAGAGCAAAAATAAAAAAAGTGCAAAAATTAAGAAAACTCAAATTTCTAGCTTCTTCCTTCAAGAGATTTCAAAAGAACAGGTAGCAGAATAAACACTGATGAAAAACACAAAAACTCAACTGTATGATATCATTGTCAGAATATCTTCCAGAATGCAAAACATCAAATATAAGATATATATATATGTATATATAACATGGAAATAATCCTAGGAGATTCAATTTCTATACAATGGAAAATCTAAAAAAAAAAAAAAAAAAGAGCAATGAAACTGGTAGAGATAATAATAAAATATAACAAAATTTCCCTAAACTGAATAAACTTGAGTCTTTTTTTATTTTTTGAATCTGAGTCTATAAATTAAAAGAGGTCAAATTCTAGGCAGAAAATTCCTTTAAAGACATCTTTACTGGGGTACCTGGCTAGCTCAGTCAGTGAAGTGTGTAATTTTTTTTTTTTAATTTATTATTTCTAGGAGAGAGAAAGAGAGAGACAGTGTGAGTAGGGGAGGGTCAGAGAGAGAGGGAGTCACAGACTGAAACAGGCTCCAGGCTCTGAGCTGGCAGTCAGCACAGAGCCTGACGCGGGGCTCGAACCCACAAACCGCGAGAACATGACCTAAGCGAAAGTCGGACGCTTAACCAACTAAGCCACCCAGGCGCCCTGTGAAGTTTGTGATTTTTGATCTCAGGTTGTGGGTTCGAGCTCCATGCTGGGTGTACAGACTGCTTAAAAAAAAACTTAAAGACATCTCTACTATACCACCGATATGCTGAAAATTCCAAATTCCAAGGAGTAAAGATAAAATCACACAGACTTCTAGGAAAATGCAGACTATAACAAAATCAGACTTGATACCTAACATCATCTGAATCCCTGAATGCAAAAAGACAAAATGCTATGCACCAGAATTTAAAAGGAAGATTATGACCTTAGATTTGTCCTTTCAAAGTAAATTTCAAGATCTCAGGACTTGGAAGTTTCAGATAAAGTCTCAAAAAGGGAGTCTGCTTGGATTCTCTCTGCCCCTCCCCTGCTCACTCATGCTGTCTCTCTCAAAATAAACAAATGTTAAAAAAAAGAAAAAAAAGGAGTAACAGGACTTATTGTACTTGATATTACAGATGTGAAATAGAACATTTAAATGTGATATTCTCAAAAGAGTATAAGAGCCAGAGAATTCAAGCAAGTTCATGAATAAATGTGATTTATGAAAAAGGTGGCATCTGAAATTTAAAATGGCCTCCCATTTGAAAAAAAAATTTCTGCTTCATACAAAAAGATTCCAGGGTAATAAAAAGCAAAGAGAGCTTTAGCTCATTAATAGAAGCTCTATACTAAGAAAGATTCTAAATTCCTAATTGTGCTCAGCAAAAAGGAAAGCTACTGTGCTTTTGGGAAGGAAAGGCAATGTCACATAAGTATAATCCCTAGATTACATTTTTGAGTTTCTATTTAAGTTCCAATTAGTTAACGAACAGTGTTTCAGGTATACAAAATAGTGATTTAACACTTCCATACATCACCCAGTGCTCATCCCAAGTGCACTCCTTAATCCCCATCACCTATTTCACCCATCCCCCCACCCATCAGTTTGTTCTCTATAGTTGAGTCTGTTTCTTGATTTGTCTCTCTTCCCCGCTTTGCTTGTTTTCTTAAACTCCACATGAGTAAAATCACATGGTATTTGTCTAATTTTTCCTATCATAATACTCTCTAGCTCCATCCATGTTGTTGCAAATGGCCAAGATTTCATTCTTTCTTATGGCTGAATAATATTCCATTGCACACATATACTACATCTTCTTTATCCATTCATTAATCAATGGCCACTTGGGCTGTTTCCATAATCTGGCTATTGCAGACAATGCTGTGATAAACATCAGGATGCATGTGTCCCTGTGAATTACTATTTTTGTGTTCTTTGGGTAAATACATAGTAGTGTGATTGCTGGATCTTAGAGTAGTCCTAGATTACATTTTTGATATAAATAATACAACCATCCAAGCACTGGAAAATAAATGCATGGTACTTTAAAAAAATTTTTTATTTACTTTTGAAAGAGAAAGAAAGTGTGAGCGAGCAGGGGAGGGGCAGAGAGAGAAGGAAACAGAGGATCTGAAGCAGGCTCTGTGCTAGTAGCACAGAATCCAATGTGGGGCTCAAACACACAAACCATGAGATCATGACCTGAGCTGAAGTCAGACGCGTAACCAACTCCGCCACCCAGATGTCCCTAACTGCATGGTATTTTTTTTTAAATAGGCTCAGGTTGAAAAAGCAAAACAAAACAAAACCAAAACCTTTTCTAGCAGGACACCATAGTTAAAAGGATATGTCAAGAACTTTTACAAATCCAAAAGACATCTTTAATTACTGAAGTAAACTAGTACAACCTCTTTGGAGTATCGTATAATTCACTTCTGAAAATCGTTTTTAGGTAAACAGTTTACAAAGATGTGTGTACAGGGCTATTACTAAATGGGAGGTTATTATTATTTTTTTAATGGCAAAAACCCAAATGTCTATCAGTGAGAGATATTAAACTATAGAACTTCCATATAAAAGGATACTATCATGTCATTAAAAAAAAACGATGAGGCAGATCTATTTGCAGGGACATGGAACTGTCATGATAAACTACTGATAGTGCTTTTTCTTTTTTAGTGAGAGAGAGAGAAAGCACTCGCAAAAGCTGGGGAAGGGGAGGGAGTGAGGAAGAGACGGCATCTCAAGCAGGTTCCATACCCAATACAGAACCAGATGAAGGGCTGGGTCTCACCACCATGAGATCAAGACCTGAGCTGAAATAAAATCTGATACTATATGAGAATAGGAGGAGGAGAAAAAAAAGAGTAGTCCGATACTTAACCAACTAAGCCACCCTAGATCGCCTTGATAGTGTTTTTTTTTATTAAAAAAATTTTTTTAATAAACATTAAAGTTTATTTTTGAGAGCAATACACAGCACACCTGGGGGAGGGGCAGAACTTGAAACAGGCCCCAGGCTCTGAGCCCGACATGGAGCTCGAACTCAGGAACAGCGAGATAGTGACAGACTAAAGTCAGATGGTTAACCTACAGAACCACTCCAGGCACCCCAGATAGTGCTTTTTTAAGAGGGAGAAATGGAACCTCTTAATATTAGGTGGTATATTGTTTTTATTTTTTATAATGTGTATTATCAAAAGAGGAAGGGGGGATTTTTCCATCCCAAAACCTTGTAAATAATTACGAGAAAAAAATGACCCGACAGTGGCTTTTTAAATTTCTTACTGCTCCAGGAAAATTATGCCTTAAATTACGAAAATGTTCACTCCTTTAAAGAGAAAAAACCCATTCCCACACTTACATTAGCTGGTTGCGCTCAACGGGAACGTCTGTGTCTTCACTGAGTTCCAATCTATTACGCCTGTAGGTCGAACCAACACTCAATCCGTGAATTAATAATAATGGGGCAGAAAGAATTTTCCTCCTCACATTGCCAAGGAAACCTCTCAGCCACAATTCAAACACAGGACGTGTTTTTAAATCATCTCCCAACTATTGGGAGATTAAGTCCATTTGAATAACCTTTGTCAGACTGGAGACAACTAGGGTTAGTTATCTCCTCAAAAACAAAAACAAAAAAACCAACAAAAAGAGAGTTCATTGAAAGATGAACTTGAGAGTCAAAGGATTACTGGGGAAAAAAAAAAATCCATCTTCCATAGCCGAACAATATAATTTAAAAAGAAAAGAAGAAAAAGAAAAAAGAAAAAGAACACCAAAATTCAATAAGATCCAATTTCTGGTCTTCAAGATTTCTTCACCTATTAAGAAAAAAACAGAAACCTTCCCCCATCTTTATTATCTGTATAATAAAAGCATACTTGTATGAAAAATATAAAGTGTTTTATGTATATAATATACATATACATATATACTAACTGGCTTATACACACACACACACACATACACAAATGTGTAGAAATAAAACATTTGGGTAAGTTTTCCCTTTTAAAATACACTATTATAAAAGCCTTCAGATTTGGGTTCATTATAAAAATAGTGAACTTACTCTTATACCAAAGTATCATGACGTGTATCAGTATATTACACTAAATTTTGTCCAGCCCACAGGGTAACCATGAAGGGAAATCCTTACATACGTATCAATGTGTATAATACGGATGTATGTACAGCATTATCATCTTTATCATCTTCAGGGAGTGTTTAACCAAAAAAGATAGAAACGTATAGTTATAGAGTAGCTACAGAGTGGTGCAGCAAGCTGTAGAAGGCAGAGCAGCATTATAGCCATCCTGAACTGGTACTGTCAAAATTCAGAAAGCTTCTACCTCAGGGAAGAGTTTTGTTCTTCTTTTACAGCAACACCAGTGTCACTGGCAAAACATTCAATATTGGCCCTGCAAAGGCTTGCTTATGCAGCCTGGTTTCATTTTTTCTTTCTTTCTTTTTTAATTTTTTTTTTTTGTTTACAAATGATGGCTACAACTAAAGACTTTGTAAGTATTCATTTACTCCAGTTAGTAAAAGGGTAAACTTTGGGAGTTGAAGTTTCATTGCACAATGGTACATTTACCATTTAAGAATTTAAAAAAACAAAAACAAAAAAAAACAAAAAACCCCAAAAACAAAAACAAAAAAAAACCCCGATTTTGATACAGAGAAACGAGTTCTAAATTTTGAAACCAGCCCCGTAACAAAGCAATTTTGATTCTCATGTAATAAGTACTACATAATTTCTAGGCTAAATCTTGCCAAATACTATCCAAGACAAAACTAAAATCAAAACTTAAAAAAAAAGTGGACACCTTTTACTCACACTTAATACTAGTCAATTTTCCAGGAAATTTTTGGGCAGGGAATATCCCCAAATCTAAAATGAAAAAAAGGAAAAATTGGGATCTTACATTAGTTATTCAGTCTGAAACCTGTAATAGACTTTCACTAAAAGTCATCATTTTCTGGCCTCCCACTCAACCACAGAAACCTACTTTGAGAGTGGAAAGGAACTTTAAAGATGACTGACATCAATTCTCTATTTTACCAGTGAGGCAGTGATTCCTAACACCTGAAAATACGGAGTCCTATGTTTAGCTAAGATTAGAAGCCAAAAAACAATCTCATAATTAAGAATACAGTATTACGGACCATTTAGCATATATATTTTAAGACATTTAAGATCACTTAAAATCAGAGAAACATTCTTTGGGACACAGACACTGTGTCTGTCAAAAGTATGCCCCTGGGGTTTTTATTCCAATTCCCATTCAATCTCTCAATTTTTATAAACCTATCATGTCATTTGCCCATACATTTGTAAAAAGTATCCATACAATCTTTATTTTACAGTTTCCCCACTATTCTATAAAGGTTAAAAAAGGCAATTCAAAGACTAAAAGTAATTTTTTCCTGATTGTTTTCTAATGTGTCCCTTTTACACAGATCCAATCCTAAATACAAAGGGTAACTCTATCACACTCAGTAAGTTGAAATTATAATGCTGACCAGTATGAGGAGGCAATTAGAAATTTCCAAATTTCGTGAGTTTTGTTTTTGCCAACTTGTAAGTATGGATCAGGGTTTTTAAAGAAATAGAAAAATGGGAGGGGGGGAGGTATATCAGCTTCGGATGCCTTTTTCCCTTCAACTTCATTGGTTTCAGGAAAATCAAATTTCCCATAATGGGAGAAATTTTTACTTAAAACCAATTACAATTCAATCTACCAGCCAGAAATAGCCTAAAGCCTTTCAATGCTGCACTATATTTAAGTTAAAAAATATTTTTCTCTCTTAATTGGTATCAACAAAATTTCAAGTGACAGTTACATTGAGTTACTACTGTGACATTTTTCATCTTCACTTTGTCCACATTACCTCTGAGGAATTTTCAGCACATTCTGTGTTTTCAGGTTTCCCCAGATGTGTGTATTAATAATAATTAGTGTAACTATGTTTAACAACGATAGCAATTAGGATACAGTAACATAGCAACAAGTTGCCCATTTCAAATGGAAAAAGGAAAAAGAAATTAAGGTAATATTTCTTTTTCATTGCTTTGAATAACTTCATTCCCAGGATCCCAGCTCAGAACTAATGTAGAATAATCATAGTTAACATTTTTCAAGTTCATTTTCAAAAACATCAGCTGTTCTATATTGTCAAAGTCCAGGCTCATGATCTGCTTTGGATGAAACTGGCTATTTGCAGTAAAGATACATTCAGATTGCCAACTACACATGGGGCAGCTTAAATACTGAATGGCAACTTGGGTCAGAGCTGGCCATATGCTCACCTTCCTCTGCCAGTAAATCAAAGGGTCACCACCTCCTGAGATCTCTGAATACTTCTCTTTGAAGTATTCATCCACTACTGCTATGGCAGAAGGAAACATGAAGCTTTTGCTTCCAATGGCAACATTATCTGCAGCTGAGCTATCAAAAGACCCTGAACTGGAGGTGCCTTCTCTTATAGATGAGGTAAATGAATCAGCTCCTACGATGCCCGAGGGACCAGAAGCATCTGAAGTCGCAATATGGCAGACCTCTGAAGATTCCATGTAGTTGCAAACTTCTTCTGCAAGGATCTGCTTGTAAGTTTCTAAATCGGCACCTTGAGGGAAAAAGTCTTCCAAACTGTTTTTAAAGCAAGGGTCTAACAAAGCAGCCAAGATACAAGGCTTGGATTTGAGCATGGTGCTCAGTAGGGAATCCGTTTCAAGTTTCAGAGATAAACTGTCCACCAGATTGAGTGCCTGAGTAATACCTCTTATTTGAAAATCTTCTCTGAGTTTCTGCAGAGAAAGAAGTAGATGATGGATTAGGGGTAGCACCTGATTCAATCCTGTGGTCTTGACACTCACTTTCTGGGTGGCCTCCTCGAATGGTTTAAGAATATCACAAACATAAGTCATTAGAGTCCACTGAAGGGAGGTGAGCACAACTCCACTGGCTCTGCCGAGACTATGGTGAACTGAATAGCAATGCTCCAAGAGCCATTTTAACATATAAAAGGTAGAAATCCAATGGCCAGTTTCTTCCTGCTTCAAATTCTTCCATGGAAGTTGGTGATCATTTTGGAACTCTTGCAGTATCTGACGAGCTTTGACCGAATGACTAAAATGATGACAGGTTTTCCTAGCAGCTACTAACATATTCTCAATGCTTTTGTGCTCACAAAAAAAATCCTGAATGACTATATTTAAACAATGCAGGAAGCATGGCACATGGGTAAAACCACCATCTTTGATTGCATGTACCACGTTAGAAGAATTGTCAGAAACAATGAAGCTAGGAATGAGGAAATTAGGAGAAAGCCACAGACCAATCTGGTCATTTAATTCTTGTAAAATGTTGGTTATCAAACAGTCTTTGGCCAAACCTGTTACACAAAGTACTGCCCACTTTCTAAAATTGGGGATCCTGCCATTAGAAGAAGGTGCAGCTTCCAAAGAGACCCAGTGTACAGTTACAATGAAATAGTCCGTGGATGGGTCGTGGGTCCATATGTCCACAGTCAGGTGGATCTTTTGGCTCTGAACATTCTCCAAAGTTAAGAAAATTTTTTCTCTGACCCAATCATACAACTGAGGTACAGCCTTCGTGAAAAAGTAAGTCTCAGATGGTAATCTATAGTCGGGGGCCACAATCTGCATGAACCTCTGAAAGGCTGGGGTGGAGAAGTAGTTGTAAGGATGCATATCCTCCACAATCATCTGAATAATTGCCTGACTTATTTGACTTGAGACTGAATTTTCAGAATCTGTTGTTTCTCTCTCCTGTGCTTGTGTCAGAGCGTCTTGCTCTGCAACAGGAATAGGACTCTCAGTTCTACTATTTTCAACCTCTAGCACAGGAGGTTCATCTGAATCAGAGTCACTAAGGTCCTCAGCTGTTAAATCATGGCCACCTGCAGACTTCTCTCCACGCAGCGGATCGCTTAAGAGATCATTTCTCTCGGACTCGGCCTCATCTAATCCATTTCCAACCGCACCACTGTCTTTGTTGGCAACAGCCCAATGGATGGGATGTGTGGCCTGCAAGTGGCGTTGCAGGGTTGAAGTTCCTAAGTGAGAACCTGGCCTACCTCGGCTCACACTCCGTTTACATATATTACACACAGCTCTTGAGATGTGCTGAGGATCGGTGTAAAAAAAATTCCAAACTGCAGATGTCTTGGCTCGTGTTCCAGGAATTAAGGCATGCTTGACAATGTTACTTTTGATGAGAAATCGCCCTCGTTCTGCCCTCAGGGCATCAGATACTGATTTATCACGTTTCTTACCCATTCTGTTTTCATCTAATGGATCGGCAGAGATATATTCAAAGCTTCCATTGCTTCCAGCAGAAGAGGGAGATAAAGGCATATCCAAAGTAAAATCCTCCTCCCCACTAGTGACTCCAAACTTGTTGGCCCTGGTCCAGTGAGGTGAATGCCTTGCCTGCAGATGTCGTTGTAGAGTAGATGTCCCCAGATGACTGCCCGGTTTACCCCTGCTGACACTTTTTTCACAGAGATTACAGATAGCCCGCCAGGTGTACTGGGGGTCAACATGAAAGAAGTGCCACACAATGGAGGTCTTGGCCCTGGTACTGGGTAGATAGATCTGTTTCTCTATATTGCTCTCAAAAAGACTTTCTTCGTCCTGCTCATGGGCACTGGAAGCTAACAAAGCAGGCGCATCTGCAACAGGCCTCCCAGATGACAAATCCTTACTAAACTTTTTCGCAAGGATCAGTTTTTTTCTTCGCCTCTTCCCCTTAATCCGTAAACCCTTCTTTCTTTTCTTTTTAGCAGGCAATTTTGCCTCTTTATCCATTCCTTCTGCCACCATCTTCCCCTCTATTGCATCTTCTTCATCTGTATTAGAATTAATAGGAACTCATCCCAGAATCCCAGCACTGCTGAAAGTGCTGCATCTTCTGCCAGGAGAGAGTGAGGAAACTGGTACACTTAAGGTACATACACTCATTCTCTTTATGGCTCCAAAATTCGTACCAGAATCTGTGACAACAGTTTCCCCACTGTTGAGTGGGTTTATCACTCAAGCAGAAATACAGCTGTTCCTCTCTAATTGCATTACCTTGTCTCCAATTTCTTGGGGGAATCAAATTCCCTTTGCAACAATGACTTCCAAGCCAGGTTATTTTTGGAAGAAAAGTGACAGCGATGGAGAACATTCCCAAACTCTTTCATACAGGGCTTTATGATCCCTTCCAACTTCTGAGTTCTGAATCTGAATTCAAACAGTCCAATCTCTTCATGTTATAGAAAAAAAAAAAAAAAAAAAAAAAGAAGAAGAAAGAACTGAGGGCCACCTGCCCACAGTCAGAGAGTTAGCAGCAGCTAGAAGCCAGGCCTTCCAAACCCCAGGTCCATGTTCTCTCTACTTCATCAAGAACTATATCTGCTTGAAATGCCTTCAGCTTTTAAAATATGTATTTTGATGATGCGTCATGGCAGCAATATCAATTTCCCTTAGTTCTGAAATTAATTTCAGGAGACCTCACTTAAACAAAAACATAGTGCATCATTCAACATGCATCATTTAGGACTGTCATCTGACAATAACAACCCAAAACATCAATTCTGGGACTATAAAACAAACTCCACATACTGGTCATTAACAGCAGATGCTAGTTGAGCCCTTTCCACTCCAAATAACAATACGGAGTTTTAAAAATGCGGGCGGCTAAAAAAAAGTGCAGAATAAAAACTCTCAAGGTTCACAAGCTGCGTTTTCAATTTACTGTTTGTATCAAGAGTTAATCCAAATTTAGTTCTAACACATTTTTAGACTGGGGAAGCCTTACTGCCTGTAAATGAGTAACTCACGAGCTGAACTCTCTACGAGCGGCAAGAACTGAAATCTGAGCTTTAAACCACTTCCATTCCTTTTCGGCTGCTCCCTTCCCTTCCCCAATACCTACATACATTTACCCTAAAAAGCATCGCTATCACTAGTTCCACAGCCTCCTTCTCAAGGTCCAGAACCAAGGCCTGCAAGATGTCAACAACATGGGCCTTCCCCATAGGAATCCGCACCGATTATGGGAGTTTAGGGGGTGTTCTTCATTACGATCTCATCAATCCTACAAGGAGAACGGAAGTGTCCCTGTTGTTCTTGACTCCGATGCGGAGGGCTGGGGTGGGAGTTAATTAAGGTAAGGAAGGGGTGTAGGATACCGGATTAAGGTCGGTGGCTTTCTGTATGTGGAGTTTGAGAGTATCTCCCAAGTAGTGGGACCCTGGAGAGGAATGAGAGTAGGTAAATTCAGCTCCTGGCACTCAGTTGGAGTTAGGCAGTGGGGAGGACCGCTAAACTGGGGAAACTGTTGTCGCGAAGAAAGCAGTCTAATGTCAGTTCTCTCTCCGGGAGTCGGGGAACAAGCCGGCTTTCCGCGGCTGCTCCGGGCTCCTACGGTTTCGCCAACACCGGATGTGGGGGAGGGGAGGAAGGTTGTTGGGAAAGGAGCAGGCGCCGTGGGGGTGGGGTGCAGCGGGTGGGGGTGGGGGGGACGGGAACTGTGAGCCGGAGCCCGAGGCTCCCAGCTCGCCCCCGAGAGGGCGGCGGGCGGGAGGTGGGGGAAGGCGGGGGTCGTTACGGCGGGGCCAAAGGACCCGCTCTGACTTCCCGGGCTAGGCCGCAACCCAGGGGCGAGGGGAGGCCGCGGCCACTCCCCTCGCCCTCTCCCCCACCTCCCCTGCCCCGAGCCACCGGGAATCAAAAAACGGGTCTAGTTACCAGAGAACAGAAACTTTACCGAACCGCCGACACTCTCCCCGACTCCTGTTTGCTGCCACGTCTTTCTTCTTTCTTAGCCTCTACCGCCCGCCGTCCTCACAGCAGCAACACCAGCAGAAATCCAAGACTGCCAGCGTCAAAGATGGCGCCCGGCTACAGGCTCAGTTCTAGGACCCGGCCAGTAAAAGTGCCAGCACGACGCAAAGCGGAAGGATTCTGGGAGATGTAGTTTCCTGTATGAGGCTATGCTTAAGATGGCTTCCCCGGGTCGCAGGGTCACGTGAGAGGGGAGGCGCTAGGACGTGGGGGTATCTTCCCGTGCGAGGAACGCGTTTTAGAAACTTACGGGTTTCTTGAAAGCGTCTTTAATTAAAAAATATATATACTTTTTAAATTTTTAATTGAGTGAGGTAATAAGCGAGAAAGTCGCGAGAACTGTGTCTCCCAGACAGTGGGCCTTCAGTGTATTCTTTGGTTCAGGAACAAATCGCCTGAACTGTGTGTTGTTTTAGTTTAGAAATAAATTACTTTCCCTGTGCAGTGTTGAAGGATTTGTGCATTTATTTTTATTTAAAGAGGTGAAATTGGGTTTGGATGGGTTTCTTTCTTTTTGTGTTGAAAAACTAATTCGTGCTCATTACAAAGTTCATGAGGGTTGGACTGTGGAAAGGAAAACACCTGGCCACTTATTTCCAATTTGAATGTTTCCTTTTTTTCCCCCTCTGATTGTAAAAGTAATACATATAAGTGGTTTTTAAATTTTTTAAATAATTCAGAACTGTAGAACACTTAATCCATTAATTTCATTCCTGCAAGATAATCTCACACTAATTTAGCAGATAGTCTGTCTAACGTTTTTGTACGCAAACATACCTAAATCCATTACTCTTGATACCAGGTCCCCTCTGGGTTAGTGCCTCAATAGAACTTCTTTAGGTGGCAACATTTTACCAAACTTGAGTAAAGAAGACAGTTCTGCTACTAAGAACGCATGCATTTGACCGTGAAGCGAGTGGGACTCCAGGCACCTTTTATTTTTCCTCTTAGACTTGTTCTGCCAGCTACCAGCTTGGTGTGGGAGCCTCAGCCGGCATAGGTCCAAGCAGTCCGGGGCCTCCTCAGACTTGGGCTTTTAACTCCTTTCAAAGAGAGAAGGCGCACATTAGAATCCTAGCCCCTGCCTCACAGGACAATGCTCTTCCAGGATTGCCATGTCAACCAGGTCTAGCAAGCAGTTTCCTGGCCACCAATTTCTGTCTGTGCCACACACCTAGGGGTTTTCAGCTTGGCAGAAGGCTTGCCACACAGCTGAAGGGTTTTTCATGCTAGGGCTTTACAAGCTGCTGTCCTGGTCTGCTCGGTATACTAATATATAGTTATATCTGGGTTGCCTGGGTAGCTCAGTCACACATCTGACTTCGGCTTGGGGCATGATCTCCCAGTTCGTGGGTTCCAGCCTCTCATCCGGCTCTGTGCTGACAGCCGAGAGTCCAGACCCTGCTTTGGTTTCTGTGTCTCCGTCTCTCTCTGATATGCCTCTGCTTGTGCTCTGTCTGTCTCTCAAAAATGAATACATGTTTTAAAAAAATGTATAGTTATATCATCTTTCATCAAATCTAAGGCATCTGTGATTGTAAGACACATCCTATTTTACCGAACTCTAAGACAAAAACCTGCCAATTAAACTCTGACAGGCCATTGATTAGAGATGTTAACAGTTGAAAGGGTATATGTTTTAGAATGAATGAAATACAGTATTTTTGAGATAGGAATGAGCTAACGAGCTAACAGTATCCATATTGTTTTGCAGTTTGCTTTTTCCCCCTCACTGTACAATGTATCTTGAATATCTTTTAATGGTTATCAGCGTTTAGAGGACTGCCTTCTTTTTAACAGTTCCCATGCCTTCTGGAAAGCCGTTTTGCAGTATGTTTCAGCAGGGTATGAATAATGGGAGGCAGACATCACCGGGGTCTGTCTTGGATACTACTGCATGCAGTAGTGAGAACTGAATTTTTCACTCACAGTTTTACGTGTGCGATGACTGACTTTTCCACAGACTGGCTTCTAACTCCATACATTTCAAAACCTTGTCTCCCCTCCATAATCTACATGTCACTTACATCAAGATATGACCTCTGGCCCGATAGCTTTGGGTCATAATGCCAGATGAGTCTGCAGAGTGGGTAATAGGGGTATTCTTGAAAGCCACTTCTACCCCTACATGTCACCAACCCAGCAGCCCCCACCAGTATCCATCATCCCTCCTCTTTTTCGTCCTGCCTGTGGAACTCAGCTGTCCCACGTGAGTGAGGAAATAGGGGCCAATAGAGCCTTCTAGCAAGAAGCCTTAAGTAGGAAACGTAAACACCTGCTAACTACAATGGATAAATTTCACCATCTTGCTCTAGCTGCAAAACCGGGACCGGTATCACTGAAGTCAACCTTCCTAGGTCCGCCTTCCCCTCTTTACTCCCAATGCATTCTTAGACTGCTTTATTTCTTCATGCAGAATTTTTTTTCTTGGTATTTAATTTTGGGATGGGGTAACAGGATTTATTGGGTGATAGGTTATTTAAGAAAAAACAGACTACTTCCCATGATCACTGCCCTCATTTACCTTACACCAGATGTAGTCCTATGTTTAAGTTTGCTGGGCTAGGCATTGTGGGGAATCCCAAATGAGCCTGAGATGTGGAAATGCCAACGTGGAACTTTCCTGGAAGACATGATACATACAAAGGTAAATAATTACCAGGTGGTGCACCCCAAGGGTCCAGCCATGGTTTAGACTTAGGGTTATAAACTTAAATACATGAGCCAGGCTTATGTGTGTATGAGTATGGTGAGTGGCTGTGAGGATAAAACTTGAGAATGCACGCCTTCGCTAAAGGGCCAGCTGTTACCGCTCAGCTTCTGTCCCATCTTGCCAGGAGTGGATGCAGACCCAGGGCCACCACATCTTCTGATGTTTAAAGAGAAACTAGAAATTTAGAGTTTTACGTGAAAATGTCTGATGTGTCCATTTGGAAGCTAATTCAAATACAAGGACTACAAACGACCACTTTGTGGGCTGGTCTGTAACTTCTACTTTAGTTCAAGGAGAGCTAGAAAGGAAGAGGTGGCCATGGAAAAAAGCGCAGTGTCTCAGGAAATGCTTTCTGGAGGGGTGAGACTTGAGTTGATGGAAAATAGGCCAGAGGTGAAAGGTAAGTGAAGGCAGGGGAAAACCCCTTAAGAGGTGAGGAGAGAAAATCAACTGGAGGAGTCCCCACGTTACAGAAAGAGAAAACATCGCAAAAGTAGGTTGGAACAAGATGCTAGAAGACCTTGGCTGTTGGGAAGGCAGTAGAATACTATCGTGTAGATAATAGGGATTCCTTGAAGGAATAGGAACCAAAAAGTAGAAAGTTTGTAGAAAGGTAGAAAGTTTGCAAAATTGTGTCAGAAAGGCTGTGATAGTGGTGATAATCGGTTTCTTGTATTTTAAACCTGCCTCTTTATAGTTGTTCTCCAAAGCCTAGTAACATTAAGACTCTCCCTTCTATTTAAAAAAAAAAAGGATGGTGAGGAAGTCTTTTGCTCAATTCCTTACTTTTCTCTGGCACACTTAATTTGTCATCTTATCTTTATTGCCAAGTTCCTTGGCCAGTTTTTCACCTCACATGGACTCTTCGATGTATTTCATTTAGACATATTCTCATGGCTTCTCTGAAATCACTGCAGTGGGTCCATCAGTCTTAAATTGAATGGCTCCTTTTCAGTGCTTTTTCTTCTTCTTTGCAACCAACTTATATTAATAGTGGATTATTATTATTATTATTATTTGCCAGGCACTATGCTAACAGTTTTATATACATTATCCAATTTAATCCTCAAAATAATTCTGTGGGATTACTGTTATTATCTATCACTATTACTTAAGTAATACTATTTTAAAAAATTTTTTAATGTTTATTTTTGAGAGAGAAAGAGAGACAGAGCATGAACGGGGGAGGAACAGAGAGAGAGGGAGACGCAGAATCTGAAGCAGGCTCTAGGCTCTGAGCTGTCAGCACAGAACCGGATGCAGGACTTGAACCTACAAACCGTGAGATCATGACCTGAGCCGAAGTCGGATGCTTAACTGACTGAGCCACTCAGGCACCCCAATAATACTATTTTTTTTAAGTTTATTTGTTTATTTTTGGAGTGTGCAAGTGGGGTAGGCGCAGAAAGCAAGAGAGAGAGAGAGAGAGAGAGAGAATCCCAAGCAACCTCCACACTGTCAGCACAGAGCCCAATGCAGGGCTCACAAACCGAGAGATCATGACCTGAGCTGAAGTCAGATGCTTAACTGACTGAACCACCCAGATGCCCCAGTTAAGTTTACCTTTTTTTTTTTTTTTTTTTACAAACGTTTATAAAGTTCTAGTGTTGAGTCCAAGGGGTCATTGCTAGTATGTGACAAAGTCTGGGCTCACACCCACATCTGGCCAACTCCAAATCATTATACAATCATTTGACCTTCGTTCACCACTTTTCTCTCTTTCAACTCCCCTTCCCGTGGCTTAAAGGACAAATTTCTATCCTGGTTTCCTTCTACATTCTCTGGCTGCCTGTGGTCTAGCTTTGTCATGTGTTCCTCTTTCTCTGTCTCTCACTTAATCATTGATGTTCCCCAGGATTCAATCCTATGCCCTCATCTTTTCTCACTCTGCATTCTCTCTCTGGGTTATCCTTCTATTTCCTTGGTTTCAACTATGAATTAGCTTTATGTTGTGACTCTCAGATCTATATCTCGGACCATAGCTCAGTCCAGATCTCTGTCCAACTGCCTACAGGAATTTTCAATTATATGTTTCTGAGTTCTTTTAAATCAGCATACCAATCATCACCTTGTCTTCAACATCTCTTCCTCTTCCGGAGGTCTTTCTCTTAGTACATGGCACCGCCCACCATACACCCAATTGCTGAGGTCAGGAATCTGGGAGTTAACCAGGACTCCCCCCTTTTCCTCACCTGCCAAATCCAAATACTTAGGAATCTTATTGACTTTACCTCCTAAATATCTCTTGAATCTGCATTTTTCTTTTCCAGTCCCATTGCTTCTGCTTAGTTCAGGCTTTTATCACTTGTTGCTCATTTTCCAGATTGCTACCATGCCTCTTTTTCTTTTAATTTTTTTTAATTTTAATTTTTTATTCATTTCTGAGAGAGAGATACACAGCGTGAGCAGGGGAGGGTCAGAGAGAGAGGGAGACACAGAATCTGAAACAGGCTCCAGGCTCTGAGCTAGCTGTCAGCACAGAGCCCGATGCGGGGCTCAAACCCACAAACCGTGAGATCATGACCTGAGCCAAAGTCGGTCACTTAACCAACTGAGCCACCCAGGCGCCCCTGCTGCCACGCCTCTTTGTTGGTTTTACTTCCTCTCCACCTTGCCCTCTCTTGTCTCCCTTCTAAACAACCACAGAATTTCTCTCCTAAAATGCAAGTATAAAGGCACCAGTCTGGCTCATTCAGAAGACCGTGTGACTCTTGATCTTGGGGTTGTGAATTCATGCCCCATGTTGGGTGGAGAGATTACCTTATATAAATAAATAAAATTATGGGATGCCTGGATGGCTCAATTGCTTAAGTGTTGGACTTTGGCTCAGGTCATGATTTCACAGCTTGTGAGTGTGCGCTCTGTGCTGACAGCTGAGAGCCTGGAGCCTGCTTCAGATTCTGTGTCTTCCTCTCTCTCTCCCCCTCCCCCACTGGTGCTCTGTCTGTCTATCTGTGTCTCTCTCACAAACAATAGGTGCAAGGCGCCTGGGTGGCTCAGTCAGTTAAGCCTCCGCCTTCAGCTCAGGTCATGATCTCACTGCTCGTGGGTTTGAGCACCGCGTCGGGCTCTGTGCTGACAGCTCAGAGCCTGGAGCCTGCTTCAGATTCTGTGACTCCCTCTCTCTCTGACCCTCCCCTGTTCACTCTCTCTCTCTCTCTCTCTCTCTCTCAGAAATAAAGAAAAAAAAATTAAAAAACAAAACAAAAACACTAGAGGCACCTGGCTGGCGGAATCAGTTAAGCATCTGACTCTTGATCTCACAGTTTGTGAATTCAAGCCTCGCCTCTGGCTCTGCACTGATTTTTGAAAAGCCTGCTTGGGATTCTGTCTCTCCTTCTTGCTGACCTTTCCCCACTTGTTCTCTCTCTCTCTCAAAATAAATAAATAAACTTAAAAAAAATCAAAATTAAAAAAAAAATTAAAAATAAAAAATAAAATGCAAGTATGATCTAAACATCATACTCACACAGTCACACACATGTTTGTGCATGGAATATTTTCTGGAGAATCTACTAAAAGTGATTAATGGAGGGAAAGTGGAGCTGGATGTTCGAAGTGGACATGAGATGTTCCGTTGTACTTTTCGGTACTAGTTAGAATTTTGTTTTACTATATATATGTTACTTTTGTTATAAAAATTAGTTTAAGAAAAGACATCTCTATACTTTGATCTAGCAATTCTACATCTGTAAGTTAATCCTGTACTTATACATGAACAAAAATGACATACATACGTGGATATGATTTCACCTAACTACCCGTAAATATGATGGTGGCTAAGTTTAAAGTAGGACAGCTCTCTAAGGTTGTCCTGAAGAACAGTGATCTTCTTTATACTATGTATTAATGTGTATAAACATGCAAAAAGGCATTATGTAGTGTTACCATTTGTACATATAGAACGGTCTCTGCAAGAGTTTATAAGAGTAGTTGCCTCTGGGGCACCTGGGTGGCTCAGTTGGCTAAGCACCCAACTTCAGCTCAGGTCATGATCTCACAGTTTGTGAGTTCAAGCCCCACTCGGGCTCTGTGATGGCAGTGCAGAGCATTACTTTGGATCCTCTGTCCTCCCGCCCCTCCCCCACTCACACACACACTCTTTCTCTCTCAAAAATAAATAAACATTAAAAAAAGAGAGTAGTTGCTTCTGGGAAGGGCCAAGGGGGCAGGAGACTGTACGAGGTGGCATGGGAAAAAACTTACTTTTCACTGGCTTTTAGTGTTTGAATTTTAGACTGTGTTTATGTGCTATTCTACTCCAATTTTTTTCAATGCATATGATTTGAACAGGCAATATAATCCATCTCACAAGAGGAGGCAGAGTTCACTTGTATTGTCCTATGCTGACTGGAAGCTATAATGCTCTTTCCATTCTTTGTAGATACACAGTATTATGCAAAACGAAGGGAGGTTATACCGGTAATGACTTTCCTGCATTCCCTGATGAACTGCCTAATTATTGTTTTATGTAGGACAGAGCCTGACGCATACAGTATAATCAAAACTATACTGGTCACTCCTCTTAGCTTTTCTTCCATGTTCACAAATACACAATCTCTCTGTATTGTAAGATCTTTAAAACACATTTTAAACCTGTCCCTTCATTTGGACTTATCTATGAATCAGAACAATTCCAAACTTATATATTAAGATTAAAATTTACAGGGTACCTGGGTGGCTCAGTTGGTTAAATGTCTGACTCTTTATTTCAGCTCAGGTCCTGATCTCGAGGTTCTTGAGATAGAGTCCAAGACAGGCTCTGGCTTGTTACAGCTGAGCCTACTTGTGATTCTCTCTATCCCTCTCTTTCTTTCTTTTTTTTAAAATGTTTTATTTATTTCTAGGAGAGAGAGAGAGAGAGACAGCGTGAGCAGGGGAGGGTCAGAGAGAGAGGGAGTCACAGACTGAAACAGGCTCCAGGCTCTGAGCTG